TGTATACATATTATAATTATTATTTTAACGCTACCGGAAAATAAAAATAGGAAATTGAGTTTACTGCGACACGAGTGTAAACTGGAAAATATAATATCTGGCTCATCATATACTATAAAGTATGAACCCTATAACATTTTTTTTTTTTTTTTTTTTTATATCCTGTTTGAGATTTGGATTAAATCGACCGTCGAGTGCTGCACATACCTAATCCTATAGTCCGCCATTACACGTCACTACTTTCCAGTCTGTCGGATTAGATTATGCTTGTCGATCATTATTTCCAACCAGAGTTGAGAGAATGTTGAATAAGATTAATACATTTTATAATAGACATTTCGACGAATAATATATTTATTATCCAATACTACGTTAAATTTTCATTCGTCGAAAAACTATATTTGTAGCCCTACTAATAAATAATAATTCATAAATTTACTAATAATTGTTATAATTAGTATTTTTTCGTTATATCAATTTCAAATTTAGTAATAATTTTCATAAATAATATAATTTTTTCAAAAAAAAAACGTTTACAAATAAAACATAACAACAATTATCCGAAAGTACCTGTTTAATAGTTGTGCTCAACGAATAACCAAAGCACTTTGTGATAATTAACCGAATATTAATTGAATAAATTAAAGATCATTTTTTTTTTTTTTTATCACTTTATTTGATCCGAATAACGCACATCTTCGTTTCCAAGTCCTATAATCATAATATATTAGCATTTGGCACGCATTAAAGCCTCGTAACGGGGTGGATTTGTTTTACACGATTAGGCTATAGCCGTACACAGTGGTGGCTCGTTGTATGAAGTATGAAACCCGAGCGGAACATAAACCAAAAAAAAAAAAAAACAACCACCGAGTGTGTACCTACCCTATAGCAGCAGTATGATATGCATCTACATAATATATTTATACAAAAAACGGTTGTGGCGAGACAAATATTTAATCAATTCGTCGGCCGTCGGATTACATGTACGGTCACATGTCTCTGATCGCGTGTCTGGATAACGCGTTTCCCATTCCCGATCCCGGTGATTTATATATATAATATAATATAACGAGAGGGATTTTTTTTTTTCGTTCATCTCTTGGAATATTCGACGACAGCCGTGTCAGATAGTGTCGATAAAAATATAAACCCGGAGCGTTGGATGTGTTCGCACCCCCCCGCGAGCAGCTTCAGTGATGTACCCGCGTGACGGCTGTCTACCGCAAATTCCCAAATCGCCAACCGTGTCAACGTGCACACAATATAGCCCTATATACGACGGCTCGGGGATCCCCAAACAGACATTTTTTCCATACATGTGACACACACACACACACAGAGCCTGCGATAGGGATAAGAGCGTGTAACCTAACCTCTAACCAGCTCTAGCGGCAGCGAGAGTAAAAGAAAAAAATCCAAGACTACCTGATGACTAAAATCGGCGGTGTACGTGCACTCGTTTAGGTCTTTACAATGCCCGATTGGACGGACTAGAACAAGCTCTAATGCACGGTTATACCAGCACCACTAAAAAAAACGCAAAGTCAAAGTAGACAGGCAGACAAGTCAAGCTCGTCGAGTGGGAGTATCCGCAAGTTGTGTAAATAGTGTAAAGTCAGAGTATTCACAAAATACAATTTGTTGGCCTGTATAAAGTTATTTTGGACAAAAAATATTCTAAAACAAATTTAAATCACACGCTTACAGTACAATAAATAGTTGGACAATTTAGTAAGAGTAGTAAAAACGTGCTCTGCGTACTCGGGATGTACTGAGAGAGTACATCTGAATCATTTGCCAACCCTAGCCTAATCTAACCTTTGGTGTAATGATGTAATATTCGTTTTGGCAGATTTGCAATTATAGACTATACATAATATAAATAATAATATTTTCTCATTGTTACAACTGTATGAATCAGTTAACGGTGGATAATTTTTGTTTGGTCGAATCTCTGTTTATACTCATATGAGACACCTTGTTGTCGGTTTCGCTCTAAACTAAAGATTTTAATTATAGTGCGAAAATTCCTATTTGAAAAGTTTTTAATTAAAAAAACGATCAAAGTGCTAATACCATATTCGGCCGTTATAAAAAAAAAACCATTAGATTCGCCCGTATTATATTATTATTACTTGTTATATTGTATTTTGTGTACATATATTAATTGTTAAACGGTCGTGTGTGTGTGTACGATGCGGCACAAAAAGAGGCAATAAAAAGCAATTCAACCGAATGCTACCGGCTACCGAGTAGAGGACTAGATGAAATTTCACACCCAAAGTCAAAGGGTTTATATGACGTCATTAGAGTGTAATATTAAAAAGCTTCTCTTACTTATCATTTTCATTTGTTGAGTGCAGTGGCAAAAGTGGCGAACCGATTTAGAAGTCATGTAATTTACGGTTCGTTGATTTTTATGCGCTTCGGGCCAGAGAAGGACTTCAACGGAGTGACTTACACCACGAAGGGTAGTGTGGGACCTAAGTAGTCGCCGGTTGATGTTTTCGAATTTCGGTATTATTCGCGACTTTTAAACAATATTGTAAAGTCTTGACAACAATTGAAAAAATGGGCGCCCAGGACTTTACTTTGCTGCCAAATTCTCTCTCTTTGCAAGTCCGTGATCATTTATCATTCACTTCACACAACACAATGTCTTAACATTAGGGTTGAATTCGATTATCAAAAAAAAAAAATGTTTGATTAAGTAATATTTTTTTTAGGATTAAATAAAAAAAACTATACAACAAATTATGATCAAAATATGAGTTACTGGTATTACTGGTGTTGGCTTTTTTTTCAAAACATTTTCTACTGTCATTTGTTTTTGGAAAAGGTAAAATACAAATTGTATTTTGTCTTGTACTCTATTTTACCAATTTTAACTGATATATTAATTTGCAATTTAACTACACTGTACGAGTGCAACAAAATGTTGGATCAAGAACATAAATACACATCTATTTCATAGGATTTTTCTCGTTCTATTTTAATCTGATCATATATTTATGGTGCTAGGTACGTTGTCTTTTAATAACGTTTGAAAAACGATTGTGTGAATTTTGATTTTAACCATAAGACTCTATAATGGTGAAAACTATCAAATGCCAATGTACTTACTTAAATTGTTCATAATTTTGGTCTCGAAAAACTAGGATATACTGTATACAAATATCAGTATATCTTTTGGGATTTGGACGTGTGAGCCAGAGTTGCCCCTGTTGTTATTATAGTTACATATGGGGTTGAATTGGAAATGTTGTTTTTATTTTTCTTACCCCGAACTTCAGTCTAATCGTCCTCCCACCATAGGTCTGTACAAACAATGCGATAATTATAGGAAACACAATATGGATATTATTATTATTATATAAGAAGAAGAAGACGACGGACGGGGCTGTTTTGTGTTGTACAATCAAGTACTCTATTGGACGCTATTCAAAAACGTTTTTTTTTTCGATATTGTTGTCGTTAAAATAATAATAACAATATATTACAATCGACTGGCGTACGCGATGAATGCCGCAGACAATATATTATATTATTATATAAAGTATAAATACATTACGGCCGTAATAGTTTATTGTAATATCGTCCACTCTCTATAGATGCATTTTTTTTTTTTTATTCATTCGACCTGATGGGAATCTTTTCCTGTATTACACGTCGTCAGGCTTTTCGGGTTGTTAACAAGTACTTAAGGTGTGCTTCGGCCGTTACGTTAATATTATTTTCCATTACAGCTGATCGATCTCGTTTTTGTGTACATATATATATATATATATATGTACACAAATACATATATATTTACCTTCATACATTGTGTTCTGTATACAAGCCACCGGTTATCCGGCGCCGCCGACAGATGTCCGACAGTATATAATAATATAATACAACAATAATACCATTAAATACAATACTCACGTTTAACACCTCCTCGTTGACACCACCCGGCGCGATGGTGGGTGTAAAAATATATGTCATATATATTCTACAGAAAAGGAAAGGGTTGTTCTGGAAAAAAGGGTTATACGAGATGGCGAAGACAAACGGAATCACTTGAAAACACTAAATACTTCTAGTAGTCCCAAGAGGGGGGGGGGGAGGCGCTATATCAAACAATTGGCCAAAGTTTTTTTTTTTTTATTTAAACTAAATTGGTTATTTTTCTAAATTTTGACAATTTCGTGTTTATTTTTTAACTCAAAATTACTTTAAACTTGAATATTTTAACAACTACCGTATAAAACAACCGTATTAACCTACAAATTATTTTATATTTGTTTTTAATCTCTACGTTTTTCTGCTCAGACTTAACTTTCAATCGAACGTATAGAAACTAGAATAGTATTTAATTGTTTAAGTAGAGTTTATCGTATAATTTTTAGTATTGTCAAACTTTACATAATTTTTAAACCTGACTGGGAACGGTCTTGAGTAAAACAATTAATACTATAAGTTTCGATTGGTAGTCGTTCGCCGTTATTTTCAATTAAAAACTTCGCATCTATACATTTCCCCTTTTAACTTTTATTAACCTTTTGATTGATCGTTCAGAAATTAATAAAAACGAAACAATAAATTTAAAATTATAATTCTTATTAAAACTATATGACTATTAATTGGACGTTAATATGTTATTAATATCAACGGTACCTAATGATACTTATGATGTTATTTCTTCATTACCATTATTATTACTTATTAACTTGTATTCACAAAAAGGTAGCTGAAATAGTTTGTATTATGTATCACAGTGTTTACAGTGTGTATAAATCAAATATTAAGAACCCGAAATACTTTTAAAACGTTTCCTTGGCGTTATAAAACATTTTAAATATATATATTTAGGAATTCGTTAGCTTTAGCTAACAATGAGCTTCAGTGTTTTTAATATAATTTAAACTTCGGTTTAAAAATGCGTAAAATTTAACTTTTTCACTGTAACTTCTTTTTTTACAATATTGTTTGAACGTTTTTTTTTTTTTTTCCAGTTTTAACTGATGACGGAGAACCGGCGCCCAACATAGACGAGTACAGCAGCATTTCGAATTACGATGAATACGACACGGACACGAATTCTTCAGCCCCTTACGAGTACGTGCAAACGCTTATTGTCAAAAACTTATTACCCAAAAACGAAAAGTTAACATATTATTTGATTACGATTTGTCGTTATTTCGCAGCACCGAAAACGCCGAGGTACTCGCGCCCAAAGGAAACAGATCAAGTGAGCTAACGGTTTTTTGATTTTTGCATTTAATTTTATTGCGTACAAAACATACCTACCTATATATATCAGGGTCGTGGATAGATTTTAAATTCTGTACACTGTGCTTTCACGGTCATAAATTGCCCATTCAACGTCCCTAGAATCTACTCCGTTAATAATGTTATCAATAAAAAGGAAGTCGGACGGCTCGTTTGTTTTTATTGACATCGTAGACAGAACGTTACCGTTAATTTGCATTTCGGAAAAAGTATTGTTTAATTTATACCGATGATATTGTATACAAACAGCGCTAATTTGAATTCCTGTATTTATTTTTTTAAGATTATTGTTTTTACCAGTACATAATATAATATTTTCAAAGAGGTTTATTTATAATTGTATTTTAGAAGTTTCTCTTAAAAGTACGCTTATTGATAAAATAATAATATAATAACACATAAAATGTTATAAAAAAAAAAAAAAAAATTAATAAAGGGTGAAATAGTATTTTTTGAAACTTTGCTGTATAAATATCACAGCGAAGCCTTTCAATAAAAAAATAACTAAACACAGTTTGAACATGCGGCACAATTTTGAAATTATTTTTAGTCAATCAATTATTTCAATGTAAAAAACACTGAAATTTTAAATGAACAAAAATAATTTTAAAATTATGCCACTATGTATACTGTTTGTGTGTGTGTGTGTGATTATTAATAATTGTTTTACCGTTTAGGCGTTTTACACTTTGTCCGACAGTTGGCCAACATGACTCGAGATTCGGGCGCTTCGGTGAAGCTGCGATGCGAGGTGACCGGCGAACCTCCGCCGTTGCGTATCCAATGGTACATGAACGAGGTGCCTGTGGGCAACGAACCGGCCGGCAACGGTGGCGATAAAAAATCGAAGCCCAGGCTGTCCGTTAAACGGTACTCGCCCAGGCACAAAAACGCCGCCGTCGGGTCGCGGTTGAGGATCAACAAGTTGGAAGTGCACGACACGGGATTTTTCACTTGCGAGGCGTCCAACGGTATCGAAAAGATCCAATCCACCGCCATTCTGGTGGTCAAAATGAACCCGTTCAGTGAGTACACCGGCCAAAGCCCGTCGAACGCTACTTGTCGCGAAAAAGTAGAGCTCTAAAAACGGAATGCTTAAAATGTTATAGTAACGAGGACGTGTGCAGTAGGTACATCTGTTATGAGAGTACAAACAGAGCTGACAACATTTTAGTATTTTGCAAGAGAGGCAACGCAACGTGAGCGGGTTTACTCGAGCATTCATAATGTAATAATATTTATGGAACGCTCTTTGAACAGTACATAGATTTTTAACGTCCGTCGGGTCGACTAAAACGCGAGTTTAGGTTAAATTTGTCCTTTGTCTGAAAAACCACAAAAAAAAAGTAAGCCTCCCAAGAGGCAACAGGTAGTATGTTGGTATTAATTCATTTTTTTTTTTTTTTTAAACAATGACTTAGTAGTAAGAAAAAGTAGTGTAACTTGTAAATGGTAGAATGTTAGAATGGATATCGTTTTACTTGACAACCGAACTCGATTAGAGTTAAAGTGTCTGATGAGTTGTCCGACCCTATAACTGTTAGCTCCGATTTGGCCCAAACGGGTCATTTATCCTCTGTTCTTTTTTATAACAATTATAAACGATTTAGGGACTGTGTGTAAATTGTTCTTGGAAAAAAAAATGTATTTTTACTTTGTAGCTAAATTTGTTGTTTATACTATTTTTTTAGAAAAGCTTATTTTTTTTTAATTTGATTTTTTACTTTTTAGTCTTGTTAAAAGGTTCTTAATGACTGTGAATAGATTACTTGGCTGTTGACATTTTATTTAAATAGTTAAGGGGCACTATTTAAAAAAATATATGTAATTTTATAGAAATGACAAATATTATTATACTATGAATGTTCGGGACCCGAATAAAAGTTATATTGTTTTTGTACCGGCACAATAGGAACATTGGGATGTTATTATGTTTTGGATAGTCTGTAGGTACATTGGACTATTATCGACGACATTGTTCATAATATAATAATATAAAAACTATACATTGGACTTAATTTTAGCCATGCGTTTCAAATTAGTATGCACGGCGTGATTTTAGAGTAGGAAATATAATAATATAAAATCGAATGACCGCTGTGAGGAGAGGTAGACAGAACGAAGATAGACTACACGAGGTCGACGGCCAAACGGTTCACTACTATATATATATACGTGCCCATTTACATGCTTATGATATGTTTATATATACGGCTGTATTTGTTTTTTTATTATTATTGCCTGTATGAGAGTAGTTAAATTTACATGTTAAAAAGTCATTGGGGATCGTCAAGAACGGTACGGAGTGATTGCGTGTGGCGGCCAGTGGCAGTTTAGGGAGATTTTCTGAGAAAGTATTTTTGATTTTTTTCTCTCTATTATGATCTGAGTTGACAAAAAACTTTTTTGTTCTTTTTTGACATTTCATTATACAGGGCACATTTCAAAGGGTCGTCTTCCGTTTGCAAAGACAAAGCCTAACAACTAATTAAACCGATAGGCATGGTCGTTGCGGGCAAATTTTGTTGGACGGGTTAAATAACCGATGCCAGTTTAATCGTTTTATTTTTAGCGATAACACTTAATAGTATCGTAAAACAATGTCCTTCGCAAGAAGAAAATTTAATTATCTTGAAAGTATTAAAAATCGGTCGTACTTGTAAATAAATTTGTAATTTTTAAATGAAAAACTCGTAACTTAATGTATAATACGAATAATAATTGTAATTTTCGGTACTGAAAAACGCAGTTCAAGTGGTTTTAAGTCGGACTACGGTGAGATTAGTATACTTAAAAAGCCAATGTCATTTGTTTTTTAACTATAAACGTATATGAGAATAAAAATGAAAATTCGTGAAAAGTCTCCACTTTTCAATCAGCTAAGAAACTATATTTCTAATCAATTTTTTGTAAAGGTTTACTTAAAAGCGATTTAAAGCGGTTAAGAGTATTTTTTTATAAAAAAAAACATTATTAATGCAAAAACTGTTATAGCGGGAATAATAAAACAAATACTTACTAATAAAGAATGCTCATAATATCATACAAAAATAAACCGATATAAAAAACTATGCTATACCGAGAAGAAAGCGTTCATTTTAATTGGCAATGGTTAATGATTTAAATTGATTTCGTTAAATACCGTCAATTAAGATATAATTTATACGTTCCTCGAAATGTTGTTAATTTATTTTTGTTAATGGCAAATAATAAACGAATGACACAGCCCGTTCGGAGACAAATGCTAATTACAATAGTTTCTGAGTAGATTCCAACCAGAGGGAAGCGATTACCTAAGTTTTGGAGACCTAATACAACTTTTGTTGATACTAATTAAGGACTTAGGACACGGTCATTAACCTGACAGATGCAACAAAAACCAAGTTTGTACTGTTTGTACGTTACATTTAGAAAACGTGTTATGTTTATATATGTTTAGGCCATCTAAACATACTTATAGCACACTTTTATCTTACAAAGATATTGATCTAACATTTATGTTTCCATTCGAGATTTTAATAATATTAAATACTTGTTTATGTTATGACTTTTTATTTATGGGAAAATGCATTTATGATGTTTATTTCGTTTTACAGGTCCTGACGAATCCAACATGGACATTCCACAATTTGGATTTTCCAACCAACAGGTTCCAGTAATGTTAGACGGGTAAGTCGAAAAGCAAACAATTATATTACAATGTTCACAAAATCGATTTTTCCCCTTAAAATTACAAATAATTTTTTTAATTAAAAACAATGTATGTAACTTCTCTTGTTACGGTCATAACAAAAACGATCAAATTAGATTAATATATGTCTTGTGTTTTTACAATTACCACCTGTTTTTAATTAAGTATTTTTTATGATATTAATTAATCCTGTTCATTTTCTAACTAAGGGAATGAATATTTTGTAAATAACAACAGTAGTAAGTTGGACCTAATAAATCTGACTTCACTATAGTTGTTTTCAAAAAATTACATTTATAAGACAAAAGATAACGGGCAATGTTTAAATCGCCCGCCTTTTTTGGCCAGCCCGCCAAGGAAATTCCAAACGCAGTGCTGCCAACGAAACGCCGGCAGATCAATGGCTTGATCATATTATTTTCTTCGACCGACGCACGCGCATCACTCTGTTTATATATTCCTTTATTTATGTGATATATCATAAAAAAAACTAATATCAACATTATCATATATATTTAATTGTTTTTTATCACGTTTGGTCCGCTAATGTCTCTTCACGCCTACTTAGTAAATAGTGTTTAGTATTTTAATTTTAACAGAAATAATTGTCTTTAGTCTGCCAGACTTTGACAATGTTTAATAACGATAGTATTTATCCATTAACCGTATTGTATTATTCGTAGGCTTCGAAAATGATTGTTATTTAACAAACCAATAGATCGCCGTTAAGGGTTTCGCTTAATCGTATTCGGTTTTTTTTTTATGGTGTACAGTTTGTTTATCTCTGTTGTGTAAAAACTACTGGCAAACATGAACTGTTATTATGTTACTGTAATATTTTGTGCGTTCACAACCGTTTTTTCAGAAATTACCGAAAAGAGGTTAGACTCTCAAACGTTTTTACAAACAAGTGTTGACGAGGAGACGTTCTACTACGGATCATCGTGTTGAACTTGAGACCCCAGCACTTGTGATGTTGATCCGTAGAAATCCTCAACAACGCTTAACTAACCGTCGGCGATTTTCTCAGGTGTCTAAAACTTGCACAATATTATGTGTTTCAGAGACACGAAAGGCAATACACAACTCGGTGGACTGACGGAACAGCGTAATCCGTTGGAAAGCATTCCGGAACTCAGCCAAATACTATCTTATCCCATTTGTCAAGTAAGTACGCTTTTAACACACGTTGATAGTGTCAACTGAAGTCTAATGGTTTCTCATGACAATTATTTGTCGCGGTCAAATTTGTATTTGCCTTTCTGTTAAATTTTTATTTTGATTGAACACGCCACTGTTTGGAAATACTTAATTTGTACGAATGAACTCCTAAAGCTTAAACAAATTTTTTAATCGGTTGCCGTGTGTAAGTTTTTTTAAAACTTCTTTTTTTGATAGGGTATTGCGCTTTTTATTGTGGCCACAATACACAATCGGTTAGAGGCACTTAGCATAAGAATAAAATTAATGTAAATTATAATAATGTTTTTAGTTTTAAAAATACATAAAACAGAAAATGCTTATTTAAATAAAAAGAACATTATATTGTTGTGTAATATATATATATTGTTTATTGTGCTAATTTAATTTTTTACTTTCTTTATTCATCATCAAACATGTTTTTTAGCAAAAATTATAAGTTCAATTAAAACCGAAAACTGCTTCAATTGTGTTATTAAAACTTAACAATTTGTTGCCAGTACAGAAACAAACTAGGCTTTTCAACACAAAGGTGTGTTCTTTTTGTTAAAATACAATTTACTTTATCAGCATGTGTGCCATTATTTTAAACAATATAAAAAGACAATTTAACATATTTAAAAAAAAAAGATATCAATTATTCTAAAATGTGGGCTATAATATAATAGTAATGACAATTTCCAGGTGTTTTATGTAATCCCTAATTGGTTTGTATGTAAAAAACCTAAAAATATAAATACGGGGAATTTATTTAATAATTTTATATTTACTTATTTGACTTAACTCTTCCATATTTTATTTTTTTTTTTTTTATTATTATTACGTTTTTTTCTTAAAGTTTTTTAAATGATAATTATAACTCTATACTTTGTAATTAATCTTTCTACATTTAAAAGTCAACCGGTAAATGATGTATCGCCGTTTTGGTTAGATCCTTGTGGGACACAAAATGATGAAGACACCGTATTGCCCGACGATGTTAGACAACGTGTGTTAATCGTAGCAGAACGTAATCAACAATATTTCAATCAGTTTAAAAATCAGTTTGTACAAAATTTGGTTGACAATGAATTCATAAAACATTATAACACTTGGAGTAATTTGAACAACAGCTGGATGCCAGACGATCTACCGAAAATACCGGGAGATCATTTGTCAAATTCATGGTTGAGCAAGCGGTCTTTCCCCCAAGAGCTGCCGATCACGTACGACATCTTGCAAAGAGTATCCGTCGGATTCGAAAAACTCACCGATGATACAAAAAAAAACAATAGTTATTTTGAAGAACTGTCCACGTGCAAAAAATATTTACGAGAATTGTTGTGTGAGGTGAAAGACGCAATTTATGATATGGAACAAGAGCCGTTGCCCGACGTTCAAAGAGAAGTCATGCCAGACGATGTCCGCCACGAAGAAGACGAAGGAAGGAATAATCTATTAAACTCTATTATTTTTCGAGATTATATAATAGGCATCGAATATGTTATACAAACTTACCGATCTTTTAAATTATCCGATTTCATGTTGCAAACCTTAAAATTTATTATAAAAATTTTAAAAATTAGAGTAAGATTTTGAACATTATTTAATTTTCGTCAAATAAAATATTAGTTAAAATTTGGACACTGTAAAAGCCACATAAACCCATCATTTTTTATTTGTACTAATCATATACTGGGCTAAAAGTAGACTGCCTATAGCAATTTGTTGCCTTAATGATAGAGCATTTTTCAACTACTGCGCTAAGCGACAATTTTCGTTTAGTTCAATATCTCAGTTGCCTATTGAATGTTGTTTCAATTGAGGGGATTTGCATGCGGTCTGTTTTTGTTTGACGTTTTAGACCAAAAAGCCAGACAAAATTTCGACTACTTAGGATGGTCAGATTTTAATTCTGTAATGACATACGAGTTCATTTAATAACAAGAAAATAAACATGGCTTTCTATATAACATATTATAATATTCTAGAAGGTTTATAACACTTTTTCCGGCGTGTAATCATTTTAAATGTCCGATTTTATGTTGTTACAAGGCTTAAAGTATAATAAAATGTAAACAAATAAGGGTAAAAATTTGAACATGATTTCATTTTTGTTAAATAAAATATGAGATAAAAATTGAACGTTGGAAAAGCAATGATTTTTAAACAAAGCATAAAAAATAATTATACCATTATGTTAATGAATTGTTCAAATTCTCTCAGTATAGAAATAATATATAATTTGTACCATGGTTAAGTATACAGGTTATTGCACATCGTCTCGAATTGTGATCTTCAGAAATAAAATGGCAGCGTAACGGGATATCAATTTTACTACTATATTTGTTTTTATCATCGAATAATTGACGAAGAATGAATATGGGCAATAACCTTGTATATTTCAATCATAGTTTGTACATAAGTATGCTTTTAGGATTTATTTATCGTATGTCATCAAAACTATCATTGAATAAATGGTAAAATGTTTTTATCATATAATTATCAATTTAACGTTAATTATTTATCTTGTTTTTTTTTTTTTTAGGTTTACCAAGGATCACATTGTTCGAAATATCTTCAAGGGAAAAGTGTGTTTATTTCGTCAAATACATCGCAAGCTCTTATCGAAGGAAATTTAACGTCGGCATTCAAGGTAATCTCTCATTCTAGCGATCTCACTCCTGGCTGTGAGAAATATGCACATCGTTCCATTTGCCACACTGCGTATCCCCTGTGTAGGAAAGACAGAGCTACACCAAAACCAATGCTAATATGTCAAGAGGTTTGTTGTTTTCTCGTAATTGTTGTGCGGTGCAATGCACATTGTGTTCTATTCACTTTTGTGTTTTTGCAGGATTGTGAACTTCTCGAAAATGAAATATGTAGCCAAGAGTACGCCATTGCTAAAAAACATCATTTACTCGGACGCGTTGTGCCTCTACCTACCTGCTCGTCATTGCCGAAAACAAATTGTTTCGAACTTGGCATTGAGAAACCCGAAGTGAACGAAGGTAACAAATAATTTTCGGTTATTTTTTTTTTTTCACTCTGTACAGTTTTTTATAATCGTTATGGTTTTTTTTTTAGACGAAAAGTGTTATTGGGGACTAGGCAATACGTATCGAGGAACAATGTCATCGTATCAAAACCTCACGTGTGTCCGATGGAGTCAACAGTTACTGGTTAAAACAGCCGACTACAAAGAACTGCAAGGTGGACACCACTACTGCCGTAATCCCGGCAGCGAAGAGTCCGAACCTTGGTGTGTCGTAGAAATGCCTGATACTGGACTTATGAAAAAAGTCATCTGTGAAGTCCCGCACTGCAGTTAGTATTTGAAAATAATTATTCACGTGTTTTCATCATTAAACAACAACACATTTTTATCTTGCTCATAGTGAGAACCCTTCAACTACCTATTTTCATTGTAAGCACTGTCAGCATTACCTTGTTCATTGTGCTGTTGGTTATGGTGATCTGTTGTATCCGGAGACGAAGAAAACGTCAGAATTCAGCCATACGTCGTAGATTACCTCCGTACACTAATCAAAAGGTAAGTAAAAAAACGAATAAAAACAAACTGGCCGTATGACATGTTGATCAAACATAACATATTGATAAAAAATTATGTTTTGTATATATTTTAAACATTTGAGGTACTTCACAAAGTCGTTATCATCATCATGTAGCTTAACGGGCCTTGAAGGCCCTACTACTACGCTGCCTTTATACAACTATGATAACAAAATCAGCCAGTTTAATTTAATTGTAAATTTTTATTTAAATTATAAATGTAATCACGCTAAACAATCACCCTGCTCCTTAAAAACTTACTTTTAAAACATAGTTTTAAATCATTTTTAATATAAATTATATTAATCCAAAGAATATGTTTAAAGCAGTATTATACCCATTTAAAATAATTCTAAAAACGTGATACCGTTAAAAAGATAAGAACTTTAACTAGGTTCGATCTTCGTTTTTTTTAGAAAACTTAAATTTTACCTTAAACAGGAGCACTCAAGAAAGTAAAAAAAAGCAACAATACATTTTTTTTCTAGATGCGTAGTTATGTTTATAGGGAAACAGTTTTTTAATTCGCTGTCAAGGATGCAGTGACAGTTAAAAAAATAACTACCAAAAAAGATTAATAAATATACATCACAGTTTAATCTTTAAACTAAGATTTTGAAAAAAAATTGCCTATACCTACCTTCTTAATAAAGGGGGTATGACGTCCTCTTCAGAACAATTTGTTTCAAAATCTTTCTTGCGGTATTTGTTCACAAGTATTGAATTCTATCTACTAAAAAGGTGCTTGTATATACTTTACAGCAAGATATCGTAAAAGGGAAAACTAACGGATTGGAATTGTCATCACTCATTCCTGGCTCGAGTGCGTCTAGTCAAAAATCGGACAAGTTTTCTAAAGTACGACAGTATTCTTTGGGCGAAATCACATTCCTACAAGAAATTGGTGAAGGAGCCTTCGGTACGGATTCAAGAACTTTTTATTTGTTATGTAATAATATGAATTGTTTTTAATTATTTTTTTTTTTGTCTTTAGGCAAAGTGTTCAAAGGCCAAATACCGAACGATATGGGTGCAATAATAATGGTTGCTATTAAAACCCTAAAAGAGGGCGCCAGTGCCAAAACGGCAGCAGACTTCAAACGTGAAACTGACCTGATGGGAGAACTGCGGCATCCAAACGTTGTTTGCCTAGTAGGCATGTGTGCACGTCCCGCTTGTCTGTTGTTCGAGTATATGGCCGGTGGCGATTTGCACGAGTTCCTGATGGCTCGCTCTCCACATTCGCCAAATTCTCCCGTAGCTCCACCACTCAATCAGGCTGATTTCATGTACATAGCCACCCAAATAGCTGCAGGTGGGTGTCCAAGAGAATTAACGTTTGACATAAATTATTGACCCGACTTGTTTTAAGTAACGACACGGTAAACATTTTTTACACAGGAATGGAATATTTGTGCAGTCATCATTACGTACATAGAGATCTGGCGGCTAGAAATTGTCTAGTCGCAGAAAATTTAACCGTGAAGATATCAGACTTTGGTCTGTCCAGAGACATCTATTCGTCTGATTATTACAGGTAACATTTCCCCCCCCCCCCCCCCCCCTAGACAACATTTAATTCTGAGCCAATTTTTTTTTTTAATAAACTTATTTGTGTACAGGGTACAATCAAAGTCGTTGTTGCCCGTTAGGTGGATGCCGCCAGAATCGATTTTGTACGGCAAATTTACAACTGAATCTGACGTGTGGAGTTACGGAGTTGTGTTGTGGGAAGTTTACAGCTACGGTCTGCAGGTGAATATACTTGTTTGGCTGACAAAAATTAATATCAATAATAATGACTTAATTTTTCTTATTTTGTTTGTGTTCAGCCGTACTACGGGTATAGCAACCAAGAGGTGATCGAAATGATACGTTCGCGTCAACTGTTGCCGTGTCCACAAGAATGTCCTTCGCGCATGTACTCGCTCATGATGGAATGTTGGCACGAAGCGCCGGTACGAAGACCCAACTTTACTGAAATCCATTCTCGTCTTAGACAGTGGGCGGCCATGTCCGTTTCGTCTGCGCCCACCATGACCTATTCCATGGTCCGTCCGAGCAGTCAATCTGATCGTACAGGATCGTCAAACGTTTCATCCACGTGCAGACCGGTGAACATATAAATATTTCAAAAGTGTTACGCAACTTCTTTATGCGTGTATACATATTTTTTTTATTTAATGTGGTGTGGCCTCTGTGACCCTACAAAACTTGACAACTTTTAGGTCAAACATTATCCGTTTAAAAAGCCGATAATGTGGTCTGGATCAAATTTACTCGTTTTGTCGTAAAGACTGCAACAAAAACTGTAGAATTACTATATTATTATTATTATTATTGTATTTTTTTTTTTCATGATCTCGTGTATTACAAAAACATTGTTAAGTAAATCATAATTTTGTTTGGAGGAACGATCTGTTGTGGTAGGAGTGGTCGTACTATGCACTTGGCCATATTGTGTGCAGATAAAGAACGCTTGAGCGTTTGGAAGGTTTAATGGCCATTTGTTCAAAAAAGATGATAGTTTGTTACGGTCACATTATTGTGTTCCTCTTAACTTAAGTGATTCATTACAAGCGTCCAGCGCTCATATTCGTCTGATTTTAATTGAGTTTTTCTAACAGTTACTAATTATTGTTTTATTTACTTTTTTTTTTTACATGTACTCGTTCCAATTTTAAAATATGTATCTTCCAATTTTTATTTATCCGATCCAAACATGAACACTGACAATTATTTTTATGGACTTTATCGAACAAATTTAACTGGGATTGAACGACAAAAACAATTAAATTTTGAATTGCGCTGTGTCGGCCCGTAATATCATATTATACTCTAGTTGGATGTTGTATTTTAATGTATAATAAGTGTTTATTATTATTATTTGCTGTAAATACACAAACTTTTGTATGAAATATTTAACTGCTGATAATAGTTGTAGTATATTGTTTATCTAATATTATAATATTTGTAGGCTAACTAATTATATTTTACATTAACGTTAAAGTCTAACAAAACAAGTCATAAAATATTGAACGTTGTGTTTTGATTTTTATACTATTGTATTTGTAACAAATAGGACATTGTCTAGTCTACTTATGTTTAGTGTGTAAACAATACTTAATAATATAAAGACTGTTGGAAATGTTTTCAAACAAAAATAAAAAACTAATGTGTTATTTCATTATAGTTACTTTTATTTCATAAAAACATCACACTTACAACAGCCGTAAAGTGTAACCTTTGGACCATTTTAAATTTAAAAAATGTCGAGTTAGTAATAAATTTGTTTAATACAGTTTTAGCTTCAATTTGAGAAGGACGTATTATCTTGAATGATACGCTTTATTTTTGTTTTTTTGTCGGGGTCCATAATATCTTTGACACCGCAGAACCGATTTTTTCATGTAGCAAGTCTACAGAGCAGAAATCTTACCTGTAAGGTATTTTATTGGGCCAAAGTTGACTCCTTCCCTTCAAAATCAAGAAAAAAAACCCAAAAACGTTTTATTTTTGAACTTGAAATTATAGCCCATTATAACTTTTTTAATAATAGTCGAATCACCTTCAAATTTGTATGGAAATATAGAATATTCTTAAGATATAATACTATCAATGGACGTTGACAAACCAAAAATTACCAAAAAACCACCTTACTTCAATTTATATTTTTTAGGACTTGACCGTTTGAAAAATAGACTGAAGATCTTTAGCAGGGCTTTAACGTGTAAAACTATCGAAAATATGTAGTCTATTTTTTTTTTTATGAAAATGTAAACGGGAAATAACATTTTTACCGTAGTATGTAATTTACTAGGTGTCTGACCTTGTGTCTTTTTTTTTTATCATTTATATAAACTAAATAATGATGTTGGACAATAAAATGTTTTTTTTTTTCGGTCAACATGACAATATTCAAAAAAATTGTATCTCTTATTCAAATTAATGGAAAAATATCTAGTTTTCACAATTTGTGTTGTTATGATGTGCGTCGTTAGATTATTTCCTTCGACTTTATATGCTATTGTTTTTCATAAATTAAATTATGCAAATTTTTATTAAGGAAACATAAAAAAAAGCCAGTACAGTGGTGTCGGGGCATAGTGGGGACGGTGAGGTCACTGGTCTACAGATTTTATTATAACTGAAAGTGATAATAAAATCACTTTTAAATAAACGCTTCGATGCGAATCTGTATGTTCAAACCAGTTTTAGCGGTTAAGAAGATATCGTGCGACCAGCAATAATGTAAGACATTTTTTTTCTTTATTTCACTTTTTCAAGCAACACATAGCAGCAACCTAGAAACTGACTACGGCCAACGCGTTAATTTACCCTAAACAATTTGACTACAGATTTTTGAGAAAATTGCACGTGTTATAGTTCCATTCTAGATCTACCTTTGGTCTAATTTTCAGATCTAAATCTCTAAAACTTTGCTTGAAAAAGTGAAATAAAGAAAAAAATTCTATCCCTTCCGAGGGAAAGGGTTTATGATAATTTTTTTGGTTTGTTAATGTTTTGTCGATAGTACTATGTTTTAAAGAACAATTCATATAAATTTGGAACATTTTCGACTATTTTTAAAAAAGTTATAGAGCATCGTAATATTAAGTTGAAAAATTTGTACATTTTTTAGGTGTTTTTTTTTCGATTTTGATGGGGGAGGGGTGACTTTTTTTCATTTTTTGGCCGGTTAATGTACCTTTCAGGTATGATCTATAGAGTTGCTACACGAAGAAATCGGTTCAGCGGTTTGCGAGATATCGTGGGTCCAGACACAAAAATAAAAATTAAAAAATTAGAACACATCATTGTAAAAAAAATACCTTCTCAGCTCGGCGTCGAAGCTAAAAAATTGGGAAATTACACTTTTATCGTTGTAAATTTCTAGTGTGTGTGTGTGTGAAACAACAGGTATTGGAAATATGTTCATTATATCGTTGATTGCAATGTATGGGTAACAACGGCAATTAATTATTATAGACAGACGGGCAACTTTAATCGTATCCATCCTTATTTTAGAAATAAGTTTTTAGCACGTTAAGTCAAGTCATAAGTATAATGGTTTTAACTCTACCATCGAAGCGTTTCTTTGGAAGTGATTTTGTAATAATTAATTTAGACCCGTTTGGGGATAAAAAAAAGCCAAAAATAGACAGACTCAAGATAGTTTAACAAAAAAAAGTAAATATATTACCCGGCTCAATTCGATGTTTCAAAAATAAAATTATTTAAAAGAACAGTCTTAAGGGGTTAAACCACTCATTCTAATTCAAACGTACTGTTCCTAAGAATACTATGATTTATGTTTTGAAAAAATATTTGAGTTCTTCAAAACATTTTTAAGGCATCGGTCGTGGCACAATTTTAAAATGATTTTCATTTAATTAATTAGTTTGGTTGAAAAAAGTTAAAAATTGCATTTTTTTTATATTGCAATAATTAATTAACTGAAAATAATTTTTAAATTGTGCCACGACCGATGTCTTGAAAATGTTGTGAAGAGTTCAAATGTTTTTTTTAAAAACTTAAACTTTAAATTATATTAAACATATACGACCCATAGAAGACAATCGACCAAAATCGACAAGGAGTTGAAAAAATATATTTCACTTTTTTGGTGTCAGACTTTTCATTTAATATATAATATATAATATAGGCAATTCACTCAAATATACAATTTTTTTTTAGGTCGGAGGGTATTTTTTTTAAAAGAATAATAGTTAGACATTTCTAATTTTACAAATTAATATTGCAAAAAAAAACAAAAATACTCACAATTCTTAATCGAATGTCGACGTTGGGTTTTCAAAACATTTTCGTTTTGTGGGCTTAAACTTGAGGACTGAGCACTGTGTTATCCTAGTTTAAGTACGCTTTAACACACGTTAATAATACTGTCAATTGGATTACAATTATTATTTCACGGTCGAATTCGCATTTGCCTTTCTGTTAAATTTGTATTTCTATTGAATGCCACAGATCAACAATTAGATTGTGTTATGCCCAAAAGGATCAAGGTGTAAATTATGATTTCTGGAAGAAACTCGGTGTAAAACGTTTTGACCAAGTGATAACAGTTTCACAATAACCGCGTTAGTTATGGGTTAAACTCATTCAGCCAATAAGATATATGTTAAACTGACACTTGGCCTCTTTTGCCGACTGGTAAGGTTGTTCAATGAAAATAATATAATGTACAATTTATCAGCGCTTAAACGTGAAAATTTTAGATTTATTTATACTGTTTGATTTAAAATTATTACAATTTTATATTACTCGCTTTTTATGTGATAAATTTGAGTCAAGATTTTTTTTTTTTTTATTAGACCGTTTCAAATTTTGAAATTAATTTCAAGGGAAAATGTTGTAATGTATGGTCATTTGTCAAAAATAAAAACGTGTGTTCAAAACAAGGAATTCTTAATGGTGCTCTTAAATGGTTACAAGTAAAAATTATTTTTAAATTATTTTGTTAACAAAGTATACATGAGTTGGTGTCAGTTAATATAGCTGAAATATATTCATCTATTAATCTAAAAATCAGTTGACGTGGTAGAAGTTTGTTTTAAACAATACACGATACACAATCACGATCGGTTAAAGGCACTTAACATAAGAATTATATTAATGTAAATTATAACAACGTTTTTGGCTCTAAAAATCCAGAAAAAAGCAAATGATTTTTTTTTTTTAAATACCTAGTTATTATTAGTTATTATTTCCTAGATAGTTTATTGTTGCATAATATAATGTAATATAGTAATACGTATTATATTGTTTATTGTGCTAGTTTAAGTATTTGCTTTTTTTTATTCATCATTTGTATAGTAAAACATGTTTTTTAACTAGAATTATGAATTAAATTAAAACCGAAAACCGCTTCAATTGTGTTAACAATTTGTTGCAAGTACAGAAACAAGCTAGGCATGTTTAACATGTGTGTTCTTTTTGTTAAAATACAATTTACTTTATCTGCGTGTGCGTAGTGTGCATTATTTTTGAAACAATAAACGCCCAATTTAACGTATTTAAAAAAAAAGAAAAAAATATATTCTAAAACGTGGGCTATAATTATTACGAGAATTTGTAATGCCTAACTGGATGTAAAAAAAAAAAAAACCCTAAAAATATAAATACGGGGAATTCGTTTAACAATTTAATATTTAGTTATTTAGCTTTTCCGATCTCTTATTTTTTATTTTCTAATAGCATTTTTTTTACCGGTCACTTTAGTAACATGTTTCGAACGATGATTTTTACGGTATATCTTACAATAAACGTTTCTGCGTTGAAAAGTCAACTGGCAAACGACACGGCATCGCCGTTTTGGATCGATCCTTGTGGGACGCGAAACAACGAAGAGACCGTTTCGTCCGGAGATGTCATAGAACGCGTGTTGGTCACGGCAAAACGCAACCAACAGTGTTTTGATCGGTTCAAAAAGCAGTTCGTCAAGAGTTTGATTGGCGACGAATTCGCAAAACACTATAAGACCTGGAGCCATTTGAAGAACACCTGGATGCCGGACGATCTGCCGACAACCCCGGGGCAATTTTTGTCGAAATTCTGGTCGAGGGGGCGGCTGTCTTTTCCCGAAGAGCTGCCGTTCACGTACGACATCCTGCAAAGGGTGTCTGTCGGTTTCGAAAAGCTCGCCGACGATGCACACAAAAGCAACTCGAGTTACTTTAAACGACTGTCGGCGTGCAAAAATTATCTACGAGAATTGTTGTGCGAGGTGAACGACGCGATTTATGATATGGAACAAGAGCCGTTGCCGGACGTTCAAAGAGAAGTCATGCCAGACGACGTCCGCCACGAACAGGACGAAGGCAGGAATGATCTGTTGAACTCTATTATTTTCCGAGATTATATAATAGGCGTCGAATATGTAATATGGACTTACCGATTTTTCAAAATTTACGATTTCACGCTGTCACGAGGTTTAGAATTTATTGGAAAAAAAAATTCGAAATTAGAAAATACAATTTAACGTGTTCAACATTATTTCATTTTCGTCGAATAAAGATAAATTAATGTGGACGCTGAAAACAACGCTGTATAAATAATCTACAATTTTTTCGATAAGTACATCGCTGGGGTACAAATATCTCGCCTATGGCAATTTGTTGCCGTGTTGTCGGTACTGTCGTTCAGCTAAACATTTACTAAAATGTTATACATTTACACAAACCCATTATTATTATTTTTTTTTTTTTTAAAGCCAATTATATAATATCTATTAATTTTTTTTTTGCTACACTTATTTAAATGCCTATTCCAAAAAAAAAAAATTAGTTTAACGGATAGTAGACAGTACTTTTTAGATTTAAACCAGTTTGATTTTTGAAATATTATAATATTCTAAAAGGCTTACAACACGATTTCCGAAATGTTGTCTTTTAAAATATTCGATCTTATGCTTTTACGAGGCTTAAAATATAATAAAATATTAACAAATTATTAACATGTTTAATATTTTGAACATTATTTAATTTTAGTCGGATGAAATACGAGATGATAATTAGACACTGAAAAAGACACATAAGCCCGCATTTTTTGATAAGTACTAAACATCGCTGGGCTAAAAATAACACGGTTTTTCTGCGACCGTGTTAAAAAAAACTTTTAATTCACAATTTTTGGACAAAGCATAGAAAATAATTTATCGTATAATAAGATAGTACTAATTAAAAATAAATAAAGTACAAATCATAATACAACTATTAGTACACGACTCCTACAAGTTAAAAACTATAAAATATGTTGAAGGCTACTTCGAATAACAAAAACTGGTCGACGATTAATGAAATTATTACAATTGCCTTTTTTATGGGGAACAATTTAACCATGTCGATTTATAGAGTTGAGGATAGAGCCAGTGTGTAAATTAAGCAAATGAGAAATATATTTTAAATCAAATTTATTTATAATAACTAAGTAAAACACACATTTAGATTGACATTTATTTTAGAGTGAAAAATAAATTTATAAGCATTACAAAAAAACATTCGTTCACAGTACACGTAAAATATGTGGCAGTGCGGTACCTAGTACCTACAAAGGTTTTATGGCATTGAAATAGTTGAATATTGGTGACAGCAACCCTTACAATTAGATCATTTTTAACAATCCAAGTGGGTCGATTTAACCGATTAGCTATAGTTATAGATAGGCCACCAAACAAACGCTATTGAGTTCCTTATAGGAGCAAAAATGGTTTTTACTCGTGGAAAAAATTGTACAAGTTAAAAATTATATTAGGAAAAAACAGCTGGGGCTGTGACCCTCCCCCCCCCCTTATAGTTCAGAGGCTTACTACACTAGATGTTTTTATACATCGAATGGATATTATAATTAAAAAATGCAAACCAAATGCATATATATTAAATACAGATTAATTTGTAAGTGCAATAATATTAAATGACTTTCTACAGCTAAACTAGAGTAACCAGTTTTAAAAATTTGATTTTAATGATTAAATTGTTTAATAATCTTATTTAAATATGTATTAGTCATGCATAGTTTTGTTTAAAATACTTATAATAATATTTGGATTTAAATTTACACTGCTGCTGTGGCTCAGAAAAATGTTTTAGGCATTTAATAGTGAATATAGAGATGCTTAAAATACATGTAATATTGACAAAATTAAATATTCTAAAAGATATCAATGCAATGCTACTACTTAAAATTTAAATATTTATTTTTGTACAATGTTACTAAATGTTTTATGTACTTAATAGTAAATATAGAGATGCTTAAAATACATGTAATATTGACAAAATTAAATATTCTAAAAGATATCAATGCAATGTTACTACTTAAAATTTTAATATTTATTTTTGTACAATGTTACTAAATGTTTTATCTACTTAATAGTAAATATAGAGATGCTTAAAATACATGTAATATTGACAAAATTAAATATTCTAAAAGATATCAATGCAATGTTACTACTTAAAATTTAAATATTTATTTTTTGGAAATTTTACTAAATGTATAGTAATAATAATGTCCATTACATAATAATAAACGATTATGTAAACATATTTTATTATTTGGCGTCAAACAAAGACAATTGTAGATTTTTTATGAATTTTAACTGTCAAACCAAGAAAAAATTCTACACTATGAGTAATTGAACATTTAAATATATAAGTTTTTTTACCCAAATGAATAATTATTATTAACTATTGAAATACAACACATTTCGATATAGTTACTTATAAGTTATAACTTTCAGTATTCTCTACTTTATTGGCAACAGTTTTGGCCAGAAATAAAACAACACACATTTTGCCTTTATATTTAATATAAAAAGATTTGACTGAATGATTTGATTGTTAATTTTGCATTCATTTGATTAAGTAAATATTTAAATGTTATAATATTTTATCTTTTATACGAAATCATAAGTTTCTTATTTATTGGCAAATAAATAAAAACGTACACACAATAATACACACTTACGTATATTTCATACGCCAAAGGAGAATTTTCTTTAAATTTAAATATTAGATAAATCGCCATTTTTTTAACACAAAATCACCAATTAAACATTGCTCTCTCTTTTAAAATTTGAACACTTCCTGTTGTCCATTCTTCTCTTGTTACCCAATTGTTACTGTAACGTTCGAGAATACCAGCCCAAGCAGCACCTTTCCATGTAACAATTTGTGGGTCTAAGCCGCCAGGTGAATTTATAACTTGCACGTCTCCTAAAATCAGTAAAGGTTCAAATTAATAATATCGCATGTTAACTGCTGTTCTGCTTTCTAGACTCTCACCATCGTAGTCAATTTGGTTTGCATACAGCAATATTTTATTTTTTAACCAGGTACATGCACTTGGAAATTTGAATCCTCCTCCAACCAACAAAATATTACCATACATTTTTTGTTTCAAATCCTCTGAATCTATATTATTCGTAAAAGTAAACATTTCATTTAATTTTGTTTTACAATAATAATTATTATTGTTGTTTATTTTAATACCTATAAACCATGCCCACATGAGCTATAGCAGTAACTTATGTTAACAACCGTAACATATGCATATGTCTAATACATTTGTGTAAGATTCTAATAGTTGTATAACGTATAACTGGTCTTACGCGAGTGCATAGGTTTTTACTATTTACTAATTATTTACAACTAAGTAGTAGCTATCCTGTCTGTAGTTGAATAAGTTTAATTGTTATGTTTAAACTTTAGTTTCTTAATATTATGTCGAGCATCATTTTTCACATTACATTAAATTACAAAAAATTGTGAACACTAATAAAAACCCAGAAGCAAAATTAAATCAGCGCAAGGCTAGGCCATGTTTGGTGAGAAATCCACTCGAACAATTTGTTTCAATTCATTACACTTCGAAATACTTGAGATATTTGTTACTTTAGCAAATATTACTATAGGTTTTGTGTTATATCAAAAAAAGAAAATCATGGTTTGTGGGCTGTCGCTGCTAGACAATGCTGTCTTGACTACCTGAAATTCCCTGGAAGCTGGTAACTGTTTAATTTAATTATAGAATTTAAAATACCTAAGGGCAGCGCATACTTTAGTACAATAATTATAAATGAAACAAAATTCTTACATAAATACCAATGATAAATATTAAGACTAAAAGAGCTTTACTAATCTCAGTCATAACAAAGTAACTTACTCATGCGTTCGATACTCTGTACAATTACTTTATCGAGGCCTTGAGGTTTTTGTAATTCTCTGTCAAATAAAAAGCTATTATCGTATGACCCGTGTAATTCTGGTTCTTCTCTGACTACATAATTCCTATCGTCCATATCAATTGCCATCAATGTCGGATCGAACATCCCTAAGGGAGCGATCATTGCTTCGTCACCAATCTAAAAAATAAATGTTTTTAGATTTTATTAAATACAATATTGTTTGTAGCTTAATTACTTGTATCTGGTATTGTATAACTGGCCTAATTGGATTTTTTATCATCATTGTTCCCGTCGTGCAACCACTAGTATCCAAATTCAAATGGCAATATTGTTCTTTCAACTTCTGTACTAGAAATGTATCACAGTGGTTCGTCCAAGGGTTACAATTAGTATATGGAAACCCACGCATCAACAGAAGCCCATAGAATGTCTGAGTTATGTGTGCTAAGGGATTATTTTCACGGTTTAGATAAATCATGATTTAAGCATTCCATTGTTGTAGACATTAAACATTAAAAATATATTACCTCCTCCATACTTGTATCTTATACGTGTATTAGGTTGAGATATGTAATCTGCAACACAACTAATAGATGTCTTTTTATGGCCGACATCAACAACGCACGCATTACCCATATTACCAGCACATATAGCAGCAGCAACGTGATCCTAAAATTAAAAAAACACAACGCAACTAAATAATACTTAACACATTTTTTTAATGATATTTTTAAAAGACATCACCTGTATAAGGAAACATGCTTTAAAGTTCATTTTTAGCAAAACCATAGACATCACTTCTTTCGTGTAATAAAGGTCGAACAAGTCGGGTATGATCAAGACCACTCTGTAATTCTTAATACAAAATACAAATATTACATATTTTTAAACATATTTATCGATAACGTACTAAAAAAAAAAAAAATAAAAAAATATTAAGCCTAATTTGAAGAATTCCATAAATCTTAAAGGTTTGTTCATTTAAAAATTATAAGTAAAACCATGTGTGTACAAATCAACCCAGTAACACGTGAACTGTGGTGATTTTTCTACGAAAATTTAATTAGAGGGAATACACCTATTTTAATTTCAACAGGATTGGCCTCTAGGTGTGTTTAGGTTGGGCTTAAGTGTGACTGGCGTGTATGGCATGTGTAGTAAACGTGCACTGATGGTTACCATTAATTTTTATCTTCTAACGCTTACACCAATCGTAGGCGATATTGATTGTCACTTGCAAGATACCAGTCGCAGTTGGATTGCCATTGAGACCGAAATAAGATTAAAATAAACCAAAAACAAAATAATCACTACAACATAAATTAGAAAACGGAATAATAAGTTACTATTAATAATCGTTCGAATAAATTAGGTTGTTGTATACAAATTAAAAAATTATTTAATTTAAATTCTATAAAAAAAATTATCCACTGGATAGCATTTTTTACGGTATTTAACAGTTATTTATAAGTAAAATGTTTTATAAAAAATATCCATCCGAAAAAAATGTAGATTGATAAATATATATATATATAAAAATAGTTGTATAAAACATATACTTTGAAATCTGCCGTGGAGATGTCCAATAACTGGTTTATATGATGCGTCCAAATATCCTCCAAATCACATAAAGTATCTTCGAACGAACGTCTGAAGCCACAAGAATCATCGTTAAATCGTCCGTTAACTATTGGAAAAAATATATCGTAGGCATATTTTGGATTAATTTTGAACATCTGAAATTTGTATAAAATTTAACTGTAATACAAAAGTGTAATTTTGTCTAATTATAACTATGATCATTACTTCTTCTCCAAACACAGTATCGCCAGTAGGTTCAACAAAATTTTCCGGCTCGTAGTTCAGGAATATGGGTCGAGAGTTATTGTTTCGACGAGCTACCATCACTTCTGAATACTCCAATCTTCTTTCACCATTTGACATAAAGCTAGACCTTAACATTTGGGACGCTTTGCGTCTACTTGTTTCCATTGCCGCCAAAGTTTTCACATTCTGGCGGTATAAATAATTATCATCCACATTTATTTAATAAATACATTATAGTAAAACTATTTGAATTTTACTTACTCTAGTAGGCAAACATTGTAAAATTGGATTATGTATCGTATCCCTGACGGCTATTTTTTTCCTGGCAATACCGTGTATCACAGTGAACGGGATTTTGTCAGTTGCTCGACCGATTCTCAAGTTCATAGATCCTGGATGAATGATAATCACCGAGCTCGGTTCCATACCTTCGATCTGAAAACAATACCAATTTATTTCTGGATACAGTATTAGGCATTCTTTAAAAATACCCTAACTGCGTGCTCTTTAGACTGCATTTCGAGTATCAACGTGTCGCCCAAGAGAAAAGTTGGAATATTGTGTTACACCAAAAACGTATAGGTCACGAAAATAATTGTACGCCTTTCTCTGTGTACAAACTTGTTGTGCGCGCAATAGCTAAACGGGAACTAAACGGGATACGCCCTGACTGAAGAGGCCATAGACACCCGAAAAAAAATCAATACAAAGGACGCCTCCGATACTTGGAAACTTCCTGGAAGTTTCATGGAGCAAAAAGTAAACATTATGCGCTTGTTATAATGTAATATAACTTTTGAAATTGCGCGGTATTTTTTTAAAGGCTACGGTTGTTTTTCAAAGACTAGATGGCAAGGCCTAGACATTAACGACTTTTTATTGAAGTTTTTTTTATTATTTAGACTTTCAGTTAAAAAGTATTCAGTTAGGTTAGGTATTTTAGTCAACTAAAATGAGTAATAATGATATATAAACTTAATAACGTTGTACTATTTAGATATTATTGGGTACCTACGTTATCAATATTTAAACTTAAAATTGTAATTGTACTTTGGTAATGTACACATAGACTCCGGATAAAAATCATTTGACAATTAACACACAATTTAGGTAGGTAATTACTATCATTACTGTATACATCAAACTACTATTTTATTTTGATTGACAAATTCGGTAGGTTTTCCTACCGAATATTTTCTAATAATGATAAAAAATCTAGTCTTACTACAACTATGCTATGATTACTTTCTGTACATAATATAATATAAATATATATATATATATCTGTTTTATTTTAATTAAATAAAACATATTCGCTAATTAAACCAAAAAACTCAAGAAGAGTTTTAGTATTCTCAAAAAAAGATAGATCCATCTATTTTTATTACTCAAAGCGTTTGCCATTAGAAACTCACACATTTTACTAGAATAAATCTTGGTATATATGTATTAAATAAAATTAAAAAAAAATAACTTCTGTGTTACATTTTTCAAAGAATAATTTTTATATTACCTTACGAATATATTTTAAGTACATTGTAATAATACTTATAATTTGTATCTAGTCTTTTACTAATTACTAAAATATATTTTTTTTTTTTGGGCGATTTCCGGATTGTCGTGTTTCCATAAAAAATCCTATCGTACAAGTCGTATTACCGGTTACCGCAACGCCCGTTGATCATCCTAATCCTTTGTATTTATTTGTGCCTCGAGGGCAAAACAATTATATTTATAAATATTATATAAAATACAATCCTAAGACAAGATGAGAAATAATAATTTTTAACAGTGGTTCATAATCAGTGAAAACCGCCGTAGGTTGTTGATAAGCGTGCCGCCGCAGTAACCAGGGCTTTATGTTGAGGCGCCATTGAACACAGCGCCCGCCGTCGAGCTCGGCGACCCTCAGCGAGCCCTTGAAATTCGCATCGCGGTACCAGGGTCGCATAAAAATCAACGCTCTTCGTCGCATTGCTGGCTGCTGCGTTTGAATGCATTGTTGCCCGACAAAAAGATGCTGTACACAAAATGCATTATGACGATTTGACCATTATCGTGGACAAAAAAAAACATAAGTTTGGCTGACTTAAGTCAGTACTGGACATGTTCAATATGTTCGTTAAATCTAGTCAATGGCAGCACGCGGCGCCGACATTTTTTTTACCATCAGCCCCCAGAATAAAAAATGTAAATACGTGCAATCACCCTCAAAAACAAAAGGGCTGTACACGAACCTGAAGACGGTACAAGTATTAAATATCGATAGAAATTGTTGTAAAGGTAATTTAGAGCTAGGGTTGGGTGATTACTATGATGATAATTGTATTATTCTTAGTGTTGCAAAACGGCAATTTTTGAACTACTTAATAATATTTGAATTATAGATGTTGCTAGCGTTTCAAATCAAGTTTTGTAACTTTGTGGTCGACTACTGAATAAATAATATTTTTCACAAATTATTAAATTTGTTTAGTAGGGTCAACTGTAAAATATTTGATTCGTGAATGTATGAATTAAAATTCAACCAAATGTTTGTAGATGAATTACATTTTTTTCCATGTAGGTTTAGGAGGTTTACGGTGGTCCAATCTGCTGTTAATACTATTATTGAGCGATTTTGGGCGCAAAGTTATAAGAGTTTGCCACACAAAGGGTTCAAAAGGGGGATGAAACTACTTTTCCACTCTCCTGTAACGGGGTGCAATTTTACTGATCGAAGCTTGCCCGGGGATTCGCGAATCCCAGCCACCGTCACCCTGGTAACGAGCTAATGCTTGCGCTGTGCTCCTTCGGCGCAAGTACAAAGTTCAATATATTTGAATATACTTGTTACACGCACTCTGACCCATGTCAAGCTTTAGATAGTATACGCGATGAAAACGGAGTAGACGATATAATGGCGGCGCTAGATGAAAATGACGTGGGTAATTTTAGAGTTAATAGATTGTTTCGTAATACAAATAACAAGATAAACGCGTTTGACTTTTCAATGAATGGCGATTACCTAATATCTTGCGACCAAAACGAACGAATAATACTATACAACTGCCAGAAAGCTGAAATACGCTCAAACATCAACGGTAAAAACTTTGGTGCCAATCTCATTTGCTTTGCGGACACCAACCACACCGTTTTACACAACTCAAATAAGATAGACGCCACAATCAGGTATTTTTAAACTTAAATTTTTTCGATAAATTCATAGTGTTCAAGTATTTATAGGAGCTATAGCGGTAGTGAGGCAGCAACGACGCAGGTATGGAAACGAGTACAGAACATTAATTAATAAGAGATAGGTGAAAAGGAAAACGTGATAGCTGAAATAAAGTCGAGGCGGACTAGTGGAGTGACTATGTTGGACAAAATTAGAACTAGAAAAAGATTAGACACGTTAAAACAAGGAAGGAACAGGAAATAGTAAAAAAAATTAAGAAACACTTTATTAGGAAAAAGAGGAACATACATGATACACGGAGAAAATAACGGCAAAGCGTAATGCTGAATTACTATTGAGCGATGATTGAACTGTCCCCTAGGTGAGTGTGCAGGTGCTTTTTGGCGCGATATGCCCGGGACTGAGGCCTCTGGGTTGGACTCGTGGGGACGGTTGGGGTGTCATCGAACGGTCTTCGTCCCCTAGCAGACAAAACCGGTATAATTTGCGTGCTAAGTCGCGGATTCTCTGTTTTTTTTTTTTTAGTTTTGAAAATTATGCTGAAGGCAAAAAAGCAATGTTAAACGAAAATGTACTTAACTTTGTTAATTACTCTTGAACTGTATTTCTATGATATTATTTAATTTTATTTATAGGCAACATATGATTTTATGTTTCTTTACACAGATATCTGTCGCTGCATGATAAAAAATACATGCATTACTACGCTGGACATGTCAAGAAAGTAGTATCGTTATGTGTAACACCTGTAATGAATATGTTTGTATCGGGATCGTTAGATGAAACGCTAATGATTTGGGATCTGAGGACACCGAAATGCGAAGGGTACGTCAATCTTTTTGGCAGACCCATTTCAGCAATTAGTCAAAGGGGAAATGCTATAGCAGCCGGTATCAATTCTGAATCGCTAAAACTTTTCGACGTGAGGTAACCTAAAATCGTGTAATTCAATTGCACAACAATAAAATATATTTAACCGTACTTGATTGTTTTTAGGTTCTACGACAAACCATATGTCACTATGACTATTGAAGACGATAAAAGTACTTGGACAGATCTCAAGTTTAGTTCAAATGGTCACTCGCTATTGCTTTCAAATAATGAATCAACTGTCAGATTAATAAATGCCATGCACGGTACAATTAAACATACGTTTAATGGTTGTACAAATAACGAAGGCCATCCAATTGAATCGTGTTTTAGTCCAGACTCACGATTCATATTTAGTGGCTCTACAAATGGTCGTATTCATGTATGGAGTACCCGAACAATGAAAACCGTATGTGACCTCAGGGGCTATCATCCAAGACCGGTACAATGTGTGAAATTCAACCCTAAGTATACGATGCTGGCTTCGGCATGTTCGAATTTAGGGTTATGGACTACAACGAATAAAAACGAAGAGACTGAGGAATTAGCTTAAGCAGCTGTTCATGGAGGACCACCACTGGTGTCTCCTAGGTAGAGGGCTCACGATATGGATTAACCATTTATATGTTTCTATAAGCAATACTATACTCTAATTACAATGTACTTCTTCAAAGTCAAAAATATTTTCGATTTATTGTTGTCAATTAATTGATTAATTATTGATCTTTTTTTACGTTTTGTATTTTTACTATCAATCAACAAAATCATAAATTGATTATATTCCATTTATGGCTACCTATATTAAATATTTAATATATAATTGTATATATAAATTAATATATTAAATATTTTGATTTGTTCTATGACATGACTTAATATTAATTAATTATAATATAAATAATTTAAATAGTTACACCATTTCTATGACATGTTGTAGGTACAACTTTTGAAAACAATATTATTATGTCTGTACAAATTGGAAATTCTTACTCGAATAATCATTTCACAATTTATTCGAATAATTATTTTTTTTATTATTCAAATAACTTTTACTTGGATAATGTGTTATCTAGATGATTATTTAGATAACGTTTTACTAGAAAGACGGACAACTCTGTCTGTATCTTAGTATACTTATTATTTATGGTCTCCGGCATCTCTATTCTGTCCTACCAAATAATCATAGATATAGGCTATCTAAATTGGAAGTATCGAGTAGATGCTTACATGTTTAACAGAACTTAAAATTAAAAATAGAGGCGTTGCTCTTAGATTAATGATAAAAACATGCATAGTAGGAGAGAACACAATAGATAGGTAAATCATAATACACCTAATATAATCAAAGTCCATAGACATAAAATAATCAAGTTAATAAATTAAGATTTTTCTAGATTTAATATCACATTAATATTACATATTTTTTAATCAACTTTTTATAACACTTTGTTGGTTGAAACACATCTTTGAAATAAAAAGATAATAATTACTTTAAATATACAGTTTATGAACTATGCGGGACGATCATAAAACGATGTGCAATTCGATTTTATTTTATTGCTTATTCTTTGCAAAATTTACCTTAAAATTTTATTAGCTAATTAGTATTTACATTTATAATTTGACGCACAAGTTTTGGAATTTTTAAATAATATGTTTTTAATACATACAAATAAAATATATTACCATTGAGTACAATACATACTCGACAATATTTTTCTTCTTAAGAGGACGCCACACCGCCTATCTTTAAGGAGTAAAGTATAGGCAATTTTTTAGAAAATCTTGGCTTAAAGGTTAAACTGTGATGTGTAACTATGAGTTCAGTAGTTAGGACTCTTTTTTAGTAGTTAAATTATGTTTCGGACTATCACAGCATCCTTGACAGCGATTAAAAAAAAAAATTCTGTTGAGTTGAATTTTTCTTGTTTTATTGTTAATTTTTCTCAGGTTTCATATATAGTTAAGGAAAGAAATTCATACATATTATTTATAAAAAAGTTATACAGTGAACAATCTGTTTTCATATAATCTGTGCTAAGAGCGAGTGTTAAGCGAATCGTGACAACGAGATGGCGCGAGCTGTACGCGTGCAGCGCTGGTTATCCGATTTTTGATAAGAACCTGGTGACCGAGCACAGAATAACCAGAAGGGAAACCTAGGCCGGGGCTGATAAGTGTCCAACATTTTGTTTTTGCTGATAACGTACAATTATTATGCTTGTTCCTGGAATTATTATTTATCCGTCTATTATAGTTTTAAAACACTATGGCAGTCGGGTTTTAGCAGGCGGCTCATAAGAGCCCGCGGCTTAAATATACTAGGTTATTGCAGCTCTACCCTCTCTCAGCCAATCAAATTCATTTATTTTGTAAAGGTATTATGTATATTATATTATACAAAAAAAAACAATAATGTGCGATTCTTTGAATTGATGATACAATAAAGTGTGGATATGCAATAACCCAGTATATTTATGCCACACAAAAACCCGTGTAATTGGTTAAACGTTCCCATCTGGTTATTTTGTAGTCGAGGCGGGCCAAAACCAAAGGCGATACAACAGCTGTTTTATTTACAGCCGTGGTTGTACAGTGACTCAGTGTTGCCTCTAAAACGTTTTATTGATTTTTCCTGTTGGTTCTGGTAAGCTTATAACATCCAATGGTAGCCACTAATAAAAAATAACATTACGACTAGGTGAAAACCAATTATTTTTAACACTATTCGAGTCGGTTGGTTTCTAATGAATGACGTATGAAATCCTATGATTAATTTAATAGTTTAATATATTTTAATGTGATTATAGTTTCTAATGATTGGATAATTGTACACAGTCACCTTGCATCAACATCCAGGACGAGAGGTAAATATATAACATAACCAGCCTGCGATTGAATATATCAGTATGAAAGTCATTTGTAATTTTTTTTTAGCACATTTAAACACATTTAAAAACTCGATTTAATTCATCGGTCATTATTATGAATTTTACCTATACAACTTATTTATTCTCGGATATGTAATTTATGCGTGTGTGTGATTTATCATTTACTGGATTAATCATGGTTTGGCCAAATTTTCAGAAAAAGTTTATAAATAGTTTTTATAGGATACAAATAGTATCAGGTATTTAATTTAAAAATAAATATTATGTATTTTTTTAGAAATTATTTAAGTAAAAATTAATGATACAATCTACACAGATAATTTCAGCAGCAATTATTCTGACATGTCATTGTACTAAAAAAATATATATTGGTAATGTGGATAATTTTCAGATGTACCTATCCATATTTTCAGTTTATCGCTAACGTTTTAGATTCATTGCAGTCAATCATCAAAACAATAGTTACTGTTCCGCTATTGTGACTAAGTACCGATAGGTTGTTTTTATTATTTATTTATCTAAGGGATAAAATGTAACTTAGAAAAACAACGTAACCAATTGATTTCCTAATTTATTATGGCAAAAAGTAAAGTAGATCAATAAATAATTATACATGTATTTATATCATATTACCGTTTAATGTATGTTCCTAGTGTATATAACTTATGCAAACATATATTGTAGAATTATCTGAGCAGAAATATAATTTATCAACATACTATTCTGTATTGTAATTGGCTGTGTATGTGTGTGTCAGACAATCATGCTAAAATAGGTGAACCGTGTTTAATGTAATCACATTTTCGTACCTAGGGTGTAGGGCGTAGGCTTTAAACAAGCCGCAGCGTCTTATCTCTTTCATTTATCTAACTAAACAAGACACAGTTTAAATTTGTATGTTATTTTTTTACGTTGAAAATAATAAATTTAAATAATTATAATGAATAGTTTAAATGTTATCTTAATTAATTTTATTTTTGTTGCAGATTGTATCAACTTCAGTTGCGAGTGCGTATATGATCGAATTGAGCAAACATAGTCTTAACTTAAATGGTCCATTTCAATACTCCTCAGCGCAAGTTTGAATATTAGTTTTTTAGTAATCCTAAAAATAAATGGTAGGTGGCTTAATAATTATCTTCTGCTGAAACTGGATATTGATATTTCGAAAAACTAGTTATTATGTAGAAATTTCAACCTACGATTACATTAGTTGAGCATAACAATACTTATTTTATTTTTTCTTATGTATCTATGTATAAGTGGCTAAATGTGTTATACAATTACACTAAAGCAAATGAACCAGTTTTGTAGTTTTTTTTTAATTTCAAGCTTGAACATTGCAAACTGATTTAGGTTATTTAAATTTTGTAAAATGTTGAATGGAAATAAGTGTTAACAATAAATCAAATGGTATACGGTTAAGTAATTGGTAATAATAAAATTTGTATCAAGATATAACACACAGAGTATTCTAGTTGTTTTAAACTACAGACATACCTAAAATTAAATCTTAATCTGCTAGTGAACAGAGTACTCAAAGTGAAAAAAAAATATTAATGGCGCAAAATGTGAAGAGTTGAATCTTGGCTATTTGACTAATACTAAAAACAATTTTTTAAATTTGGTTATATTATATGAATTGGATGCTATCGTATAATATTAGATTTTCATAAGTAACAAATTGTATTTTATTTTTGAACAAACTTTAAACACAAGTATAACGTGTATATGGCATTTGCGTGTTAAATGATTACACCTAAAAATAATTACTTGGTTGTAGTTTAATTTTAGATAATACATTTTAAAAATGTTATCTTTTTTTTTAGGTGACAACAAATATTTGAAGAAGGTGTGTGACATACTATAAGCCTAATCATTCATGTTCACAGTGCAAATTATAAAACATTCTTAATTGAGTAACTTGTATATTTAAAGTATCCATGACGTTGACTCACACTTGCTAGTATATTTTAGTAAGTTTATTAAACATTTTTAATGCATATCACCTATGCTTCATAAAAAATTATGCGTATAAGTCAAACGTTTTTATTTTATTACTGCTTTCCACATTTTTTATATTTTAGTTATTATCTAGGGTTGCAATTTGTATTGTAAAATAGAATAGCACATTGCCTGGCATATATATATGTTATTTTCAAACTTCAGTATGGCATCTTTAATGAACACACGCCGTGAAACTGAAGAGCAATTGAATGATGAAGGTAGGGACTTTCTACACAAACTGGATAAATGTATAATTTAAATTCGGATTATTTATAAAATATATATAAACTACTTGTTGCACATAATTACTCTTATGTATAGTTGAAAATGTATGATAATAAGTAGAATGTTATTTTTAATTTGAGTAATTCTTTTAGCGAACGCTGTAACTAAAAAATTAAAAAAAATTACATCCATGCACATTACATGCAAAAGAGTATTAAAAAGAAACGAAACCAGAGTTATAATTCTCTGTTGCGATTGGGCACCCGATAACCGTCACGTTGTTTCATCTTCTCAGGTACATACGACAAAATTTGTTTTGTGTTTATTATATTATATTTATATATATATATATATATATTTATACAAATATAATAGGATGGCCAATTGAACATTTGGAACACTGTCACATCTCGAATTAAGCAAACATTCACATTGCCCACCGACTGGTTGATGTCGTGTGCTTATTCACCTTCGGGCAACTTGGTGGCTTGCGGGTAAGATTATGTTTAAAAATATATTCATGCTGGATTAAAGCTATTGTTCGTCTTAACGTTTAATTATTTTTAACTACATTTTACTTATTAGTTTATTTTGTAGTCCCATAAAAATAAGTTAAAATTTGATTTGTGCAGTAACTTGATTTTTTTATAAAACTTTTAATATATATATATATATATATATTGTGAAATATGTTTTATAAAATTAAAATATATAACAAATATTTTTAAAACCCAGTCATAATAAAATTAAAAACATTTATAATCAGTTTATGTTTTTTAAAAATAAAAAAGTTCTGTATATTAGCGATGAATATTAGTAATGCCAACTGGCAGAGTCGACTTGTCAATTTGTCGTTTCACCTTCAGCCGCTGTCTAATTATTCTAATCGTATATTTTTTGGAATTTCTTTAACTGCAAATAAATTGTTTATTACCTTGTACATCTACTAACTAACAAATTGATTTTTTTTTTTTTTTTAGGGGCATGAACAATAAACTTAATGTATTTAACATTTCAGTCCCAACGGCAGATTCATTACCTGTTGAAAAAGAAACTATTGGCATTCACAGACACTTTATTTCTTGTTGCTTGTTTCCTAATACAGACCATCGGGTATAGTAATTTTACAATACATGATAAAACAAAAATAAATTTGATGCTGCGAGTATTAATAATAAAAATAAATTATTTTACTAATTTTTAAACAGAAATGATTCGTCTATCAAAATTTCTTACTGGTATAAAATTTATAATAAGCTCCAATTATTTTTTTGTAAAAATTATATTTATTTTTTTTTTTTTATCTTACTTTACACATTTTGTTTTGTTTTGGTAATTTGGTCTTAATAAGCAATAATGAGAAAAGTATTTCCTCACATTATTTTTTTTTAGATAATATTTGATTATAGTACTTAAATAAAAATAACACTGATTGAACACTGTTTACTAATTGGTAATTTGGTCTTAATAAGAAATAATGAGAAAAGTATTTCCTCACATTATTTTTTTTTAGATAATATTTAATTATAGTACTTAAATAAAAATAACACTGATTGAACACTGTTTACTAATTGGTAATTTGGTCTTAATAAGCAATAATGAGAAAAGTATTTCCTCACATTATTTTTTTTTAGATAATATTTGATTATAGCACTTAAATAAAAATAACACTGATTGAACAGTATTAATATTGACTAATATTTTATGTACTTGTAAGTGTATTTGATATTAACTTTTTTTTTTGTTTTTAAAGATATTGACTGGAAGTGGAGATACGACCGTTGCTCTGTGGGACGTTGAGTCTAAAACGTTGTTGCAATCATTTTCTGAACATACCAGAGACATAATGTCTATTGATGTGTTACCTTCTGATCGCAACATATTTGTGTCAGGCGTATGTTAACATAATTTAAAAATAACCAAATTGAAAGAAATGTATAATGTATTAATTTCTTACAGATACCATGTTAGAGTCTTGCGTAGGGAACACCTATCTCAAAATATCGAAACACCTATTGTTTATTTAACAATGACAATTGGTACTATTTTAAAAGTGTTATGGTTTTTTTTCTTCAGCTTCAGAGACCGTTCAGGCCCATTGCTGCAACACACACTTCCTTTCATTTCTCTCTGTCCATTGCTACCTCCCTGTGGTTTTCAACTCCTAGCGTTGTTAGATCCTCTGAGACTTTATCAAGCCACCGTTGTTTAGGTCTGCCTAAGGGCCTCTTTCCTCGTGGCCTCCGACTTAGGACCTCCCTTGCAATCATGTTAGACCTTGGTATGTGACCTGGCCAGCTTAGTCTTTTGGCTCTAATTACTCCAATTATATTTGGTTCTCCAAAGGCATTGTACGCTTCTCCGTTTGACCTTATTTCATACCTTTGTGTTACATTATTTATTTTAGGTCCACGCATCTTCCTTAGAAACTTTCTTTCTACTATAGCCAATTTTCTCTCGTCCTCTAACGTTGTTGGCCATGTCTCATCACATGCATACGTTATGATAGGTCTTCTGTTGCTAGTTTTATATCGTCTTCAGTTTCTCACACACAGTTTCTTACTGTATTAGGTTAGTTAAATTATTTATGTCAAATATTAATATACCAAACAATCAACATGACATACCGGAGCCCAGTGTTTAAATTTAATGATAACTCACAAAATTAAAATTAGAATTCCCCTACTTGATATTTCTATGAAAATGTAAACAGTATTTTTTAACTCTTTTGTAGTATTTATTAAAAACTTTTGTAATGAAATGTTTTCAATCGTATTAATTAAGTTTGGATAAAAATTTAAACATTCTTGTACTTTCATAGCAAAGAAAAAATTATTTAAAATGTTTAAACATAAACGTCTTTAATGAATTAGGCAAGAAAAACAGTAAAAACAAATCATTATCTTGTTATAGCTTTCAACCAATGTTCAATATTATAAAAAGCCTTTTGCCTAACTTGTTGTATTTCTTTTATTAAATAGTTATTCCTTGATAATCTTATATTTAAATTATATACATACTAATAGTTTTATTATTGTTACTTAGGGCTGTAAAAATACTATGGTCTTGTGGGACATGAGAATGGAACAAAGTGCTCAAACATTTAAAGGTTACGCGACCGACATAAACAGTGTTAAGTTCCATCCAAGTGGAGTGACTGTAGCTTCTGGTTGTACTGATGCAACAGTAAGTATGAAAACTTCAATAATGCATTTTAGCTGTGGGTGAAGCTAATAGGCGTTGGTTTCACAATGATTGGGTTGATGGACGTTTATTTGTCTTAAATATCTATTAACATATCAATTAAAGAAAATGGTTTTTAATTTTATTATTTATTAATATTTCTATTTTGGATTATTATTATTATTAGTTATATTTATAATTTAGTCTATTGTTTCTGTGTATCACAAATAATTAAATAATAAATTGCATAGTTATAAAAATATTCTAATGCAGTATCAGACAGTAGCATAGACTTTTGAGCTCACTGCAAACTGTTGTAAACTGCAAAGACTACCTATTGAATATATATATTTAAATTCAAAATCAGTCACTTACTACAATTATTTGTACTACAAAAATATTTTGTTATTTATCATTTAAAGATATTTTTCGAATCTTTTTTTTTTTTAAGTGACTATTGTTTTATTAAGTCAATACAACAATTCGATGACAATCTTGACCTTTCTATACCCCCCGTCCTCATAATGTTGGTTTTTCTTAGTTTGTTTTGCACTATGTATTCAAAATGAATTACGACATAATTACTTTATAAATTGCATGTATGTGCTTTTACAGTAGATACTTAAGTACACAATACACAGTCACTGTGCTTAAAATCTTTCTTAATATTGAATATTATACTGTTATAGTCTTCTTTAACTACTTTATAGCCCCCTTATTGTTAATTTATACTATAATTTATAAGGGTTTAAAATTTAATATATACATTTTTTAGTGTTGGTTATATGACTTACGAACAAATAAAAAAGTTGCCATTTATGCAAATGAAGATTTGTGGTTTGGATGTAGCTCTATTGATTTTTCAACCAGCGGTGAGTCATTATGTAATTTATAATTAAAGTTAATTATATAGTATAATGCGAGCCTTATAAACGATGTACAAGGAAATTTAATTTATAAAATATTTGATTTTTTAAATGATATGAAATGATTTTTTTATAATGTTGACACTATATAATATATATATGATATAAATAGTAAAGTCTAATAATTTGGAGTTCATGTCTACTTAGGATGGACATGAAAAAATATAGATTCTACTAATTTAAAGTCTTAAAAATCCGCACTTTTAATATATATATAAAACACTGCAAGACATTTGTATTACATATTTTGTACAAAACCTAAATGTAGATCACATCACGAATTTTTGGATTTGAACAATGTTTTCTTTTCACAAAAACATTAAAAAAAAAAAATTATCATTCATTTCTATCATTACTATTTTTTTTTTTAACTGCAATTGAACTCCAGTCACACTTTCTTTATTTAAGTAAAAGTAAGTGTCAAGTAGTGCGCGATAATTGAGCTTGATTCCTGATTATTAATTTTTTTTTTTCATTTTGGTTTACCGATTTAAAATGTTTAGGTCGAATACTGTTAAGTGGATATACAGATCGTAAAATAATTGCTTGGGACAGTTTAGACTATGAAAAAATAAAAACATTTCGTGGCCACAAGAACAAGGTATCACATTTAAAACGTTCACCAGATGGAGCAGCCTTAGCAACAGCTAGCTGGGACGGATCATTACGTGTAAGTATAACTCGATAAATTAAATTAAACTTAATGAATTATTATATATATAATGTGTTTTTTAACTTTATTTTTCAGATATGGGCATAGATAGTTTTGAAAATGAAGGTTGCCGATATTTAAGTAACTAATTTTTATACTAATTAGAAATTGCTTTTAGAAAACTAACTGCTTGATAGCATTTATAATAATTTGTATATTTAGCCAACAAAAAAAAAAAAACCTGATATAATATAAATGTACAATCTGTACTTTTTTTAAAATTATTTTACTAGGATGCTATAAACTCAGAACGATTAAATTAAAATACATTATTTTAGTATTTTATAAAGAAAATATATGTAAACAATTTTAAACACAAATAATTTATCCTATTGTTCAAATTATATCAACAATTGTTAGTAAAAAAAAAAACTATAAAAAATGTATATAATTTATTATAGTGCTATATTATATAATATAATTATACTTAATAATATTTTCCTTACTAACATGTATGCATTGTAGATGTTAACCATTAAAGAACTAAAATTAGTTTAATCTGTATAAATTAGTGTTATATTAACTTCTGATTTTATTATATATTTCTCAATTTAAGTAATATTCCTAGCTTTATTTTTTCCGTTAAGTGTCAATGGGCAACTTAAGCGTCTACCAAGATCATGGCTAAAGGTTTAAGTTCTTTAGTAACTTATTTTGATGTTGAATATTCAAGGCTATTTAAATATCAAAGATTCCTTTCGATTCGACAATGAAACAAAAATCCCCTCAAATTCTAATCATTGCATCTGGTCACGGCATAAATTTATAGTAAGCTATACGCTTACATAGATGTTTAAATTCAAATGTTAATCCAATTTTAGTAAACTTAATTTAATAAGGTTTTTTTTTGCTTTATTAAAAGTGGAAAAAATTTCATTTAATCAGTTTTTTTATTTTAATTTAACTCTTCAATTATTTTTAGTCTTGCATAGGCAGTATTTTTGGTAAAATATTTATAATAAACTAAGTCATTTTAAACAAGTATTCATTATAAAACACTATTGGAATTTACTTACTATTATATATCTAATTAACACTTTGTGCGTGGGCATTATACAATATGTCACTATAAAAGTCAAGTTCACTAATAGTAATTCGTATATCATAAAAATGATTTGATTGTTATACAAAACCATTTTTTTTATTCATGTTGCTTTTTTTATTTTTTTTTTCTACCACAACTTGGTGGTTATCCTCCCAATCGACAAACAAATTCAATAATAAAACATAATCGGATTGAATTAAAACATAAGTTTTTTCTTAACTTTAAATTATGTAGTATTTATATATATTATATATTGTATCAATGTATTTTAATCATTTATAACATTGTAATTTTTTTTTTTTTATATTATTAATAATGTTTTGCTGACTTTAGGTCATCTAAGCTTAAAGCTAGAATTACATTTTTGTCGGCGGTTTTACTAAGATAACTATTTTCAACACTGCATAACATAATATATGATATTTACTGATGTGCACAATTAGTTTGGATAACAATAAACATTGTAATTATATTAATTGTATTAATTAAAATTCCAATTTATGATAATATCAATGTACATTTTATGTATACTATAAATTCACTGAGACAATCGATCGATTTCACCAGAAGCACAATATTGGGAAAGTGATAAAGCTACATCAATATTATCACATACTTTATTCTCTTGTCCAGTGTATGTCGCTCGCGTATATTCTATAGCTATTATTTTACTATTGTTACTGTTATTATTACTCTGAACGTCGATGTGTTTATGTTTAATTAGCCGTCTAGAACGACGACCCGTTCACTAGAAAATCTAAACTTTTTTGTATGTGTATGTGTGTACATAGGGGGTAGTTAGAGGTCATTGGCTACCTCTCGTGAATTCGTCTCTACTCACCACCACACTTGGTCTGCGCTTAGTGCACTTTATTGTACAGGTTTTCCAGAAAAAAAAAATTAAAAACTGTCCGTGTCCGTGTCGTCAATTGTCACATTTTGAATCGTTGTCCGCGTATCATCGGCTCCACTGATTTTGACCCTGTTGTGACTCGAGTCCTTTACAAGACATTAATCAAATGTTATTCGTCCTGTTAAAAACTGTTTAATTGTAAAAATAATTGTGGAATTAGTAACAGTAGCGATGGAAGTGGGCGTCGTATAAATGTTTTTTTTTTTAATATTCAGAATTGTATAGACGTTGATATTTAATAGCGTTAGATGTGTAATTTCATATTTACCTAACCTTATTTTTAACACGAGTCGTTAAAAATTTGAATTGTCCCTTATAAATGATGTTTTTGAAATTTGGAATTGGAAAACACTAAAGTTCTTTTTACGCGTAAAACAATAAGTTAAATTTCGTTTTAGCTAGTTATTTTTGTGGCAAGTCGACAGTAACTCCACTGCGTTGTTAAGGATGATTTCTATGTTTTCGAATGTGTGATTTTAATTAAGCAGCTAGTGCTTAATCATCAGCGTAGGTATGACCTTAGATCTCTGGTGGTATTGGTTGATCGTTGGCATTCATGTAAAATAGTAGAGGCGCTAGGAAACTTCCTTGTGCTAGTATATCTTGCGAGTCTGAGAGTATTGCGTTGTTTTTATTCTATTAAGCGACCTGTTATTTTCCTTAGACAAACAACGATCAATAATTTCCATTCCAACGACTATGTTTACATTTTTAATGTGGTCTACAGTTTCAACTCTGTCTATTTGAATAGTATACAGGTAACAAGAAAATAAATTCAGTTGTATTTTACCGATAATTTCCGAGTGTTGTATTTTATTGACAGCGATCAATGTGTACTAATCAAAAATAGATTCAAGTTACAATTATTCGAAATTTAAGAAAGATAGTGACCAGACTTTGTATTTGTTTGTTTTTTTTTTTTTAACTGGTGAAAACCCACTAAAATGGCTTTCAGTACAGGCATTTTAAGAAATCGAAATAATACAAATATTTAATAAACATTTATCGAAATTGAAATGGTGTTTTTAGTATATCTATTTTAACGATGAATACTACTTGATTTTTCAGGACAGTTAAAATGTAATTTATGTATTCTGTAAAGACCAGAACATACTTTAAAATGTATTTCTGCCTGGTAAACCACAGGAACTCAAAAAAGTGGTCATATCTGATCCTAATTCTAATCTAACCAAAACTAAATGCATATAACTATGCTGCTTAATATACAAAAGTTAAATAATTAAGCCGTTTCCACTCCATTAAGGGTAAAATGCTGGTATTTGACTAGTTCGTCTACAAATATGTTTGAAAACAAACACCGTCCATAAAAGTTGTAAAAAATGACAATTTTATAGTGTAAAGGGTAAACTAACTGCGTACGAAGAAATCTGTAAGGGCATTAAAAAGCAATAAACGGTCCAGATGTTTTCATAATAATAATATTTTTAAAAACTGTATTTGTTACTTATATAATATAATAATAACACAGATTAGATAAAACTTATTTTATCTTATGTGTGATAATAATTTGTCTGGCTGCTATACAATAAAATGTTGCATATAAACAAGCGATCGTGATGACGACCGTTATTTGATTGTAATTATTTGTAACCATCAACTTGTCTTGACCTTACTGTTTATTTATTTTGTCTTATAATTTTTGTGTCTTAAATATTTATCCTGTGTTCGATTTGCCTTGTTTATTAATTATCAATAATCATGTCACCGAAAGCTATGCCTTTTGTTTATGAGGTACTTAAAGAAATGTTGACTGAAATATACAAAGTCTTAGGCTGTACCGCGGACGCCAAACCTGCATCAAATGCGGCCGATGGCATCGCTACGGCCACATCGCTGTTATTGTCTATGTATTTTCTATTATTTGTTTCTTTGTTATTGTTATTATTTTATTTTTGCTTAATTGTTGTATACTCAATTTCTTATTGTACACTTGTATTTCCTGTAACGGTTTTCAATGTCTGACGGCAAAACCTAGGCTTTCTGGCTTGCTCAAGTATTGGGTGAAGTCAATGGCTACGTAATGAGCGTATGGCGCGCGAGCCTGGATTTAAATGAGGCATCCACGGTGGTGGTTGGCCGAAGTGGGCCAACCTCTCGGTTTCCAGACCTGTCCCTCTGTCAGTCACGTGTCAACAACGGGCTTGATGGCCAAGCCACTGGCTACGTCTCCGCTGGCTTTGATGGTCAGTTTGACAACAGCTTTTGACTGTGACCGTTGCGATGACATGGGCCATATGTGCTGCGGGTTCGACGTCCGCGGTACAGCCTAGGCCTTTGTATATTCGGGCAACAGCTGTTCATCTTTAAGTTTGAGAAAAAGACCCGGTTACCCGGACCTAACTCATGATAAATGATTCTATTATTCGGGGTTTTAACACACCATTGTACATATTTCACGGTTACTATTTGTTTCATTTATCATATAAATGAAACAAATAATTATATTATTGATTGTTTCTCCATTATTGTGTATTCATTTCGTATCGTACTTTCACGTTTCCTATTTATTTATTTACTGTTTTAAGTCGTTTATTACGGTGTTATTCTGTGCAAATAAAAACATAATTTTCATGATAAATAAATATTCTATTTCTTAGTTAATTGAAAATTCCGCACATAGAATTGTCCTTTTTTTTTTTGTTTCTAATTAATGATTTACGGGTAAACATGGTGAAAAAATTTAAAACCAAGTACAGTCTGACCAGCGACAGTTTAAAATTAAAATAAATACTCTGGCCGTTTAATATAGGCACCAAGTCGGGAGATAAAAACCTACATTGACTTTTTAAAACACATAACTTAAGACAGTGTATGTGCAACTATAGTCCAGCTCACGAAAACTGAACGTTCAAGGCCGATGGGCGGCAGCCAAATATCGTCGATGCCAGTGGTTCTCCGTATTGTACGTATCGCTGTTGTTAGCTGTTGGATAGAGTCGGCTGTTATGTTAAAATATACATACTAAAGAAATTTTTAATAATTATTTTCAATTGCTATATTTCTAAATACGTAACGTAGTGCGCGAGGCAAAATAATAAAATATGTACGTTTAAACATTTCAAAAAGCGCGCCAATTATTTTGATACCCACTAATGGAAATTAGCCACTGGTAGCGCTGATGTCGACGTTCAGTTTTCGTGAGCCGGACTATAGCTATTTTGATTTTCGTCTATGTAAAAAAATGAAGGCCTTATAATTCGAGTACCAGAATGATACTATCAGTTAGCGATATACTTCTAACTAAAAATGCTACGCACAAATGTATTTCCAATATTACAGCTAGCTGGTAATTTACGTATTGAATGTGTGGCAGCACTGCTCGCCGCTTGGACGCCAGACGGGCCCAAACTTACAAGTCACCCTGCAGAGAGCAGCCTGTGCGCAGTTCGTGAGCGGTGCGAGGACGGCTGGTGCTATTGATCGCAGTACCAATTCGGATGACATACTTTCATTTGAGGCGCGAGTGCTTACAGTCAATACAGGCGTCTTAAGTTGTGCGTTATATTAAGCGATTTTAATAGTTCCACTGCAAATAACTTTACTTTTTTTCATCGAATTAGAGCATTACCTACACCGAAACGCAGCTGCCGTAAGTATTAACTTATTATGAATGTGTCGAGAAACATATCAAATTTACAGGTATATGGCAAGGGTGGCCGACCAGTAGACCATGGTCGGTGGGCGTTAAAGGAAAAAAATGTATACAACATAAACTGTCGTACGGTCTACGAATTATTTTCCGTTTAAGTACGCGCGTTATTGGCATTTAGCATTTCCAAAGTCGATTATAGTGGTGAAATTAATGTCGGAGAAAAAAGTACTGAACGTAGCGAGCGCGTATGCTTCACGAGTATGATGCCGAGAAAGCGACAAGGCAGAGTTTTGGCGAAAATGGATGCGGCTATGCAAGTAGTAGTACCGGAAAATGAGGATGCTGTAATTGGTGCTGTTTTCAATGGACGTGTCGGTAGTGAGAGGGCAGAATATCAGTTCATATAGGGCAGAATATCAGTTCGTGAAGGGCGTGGTCCGCGTACTATGGGAAGAGAGAAGAACATTGTATAACTTTTAAGATCTGAGGAAATAGGTCACAAATCGATCGTTTTATGTGCAAATAGAAAGCGTAATACGGATAAAGGATTGTAAAGTAAACGGAGTTTTGGTGTACCTATTTGGGAGAGAGTGCACAAAAATAAAAAAGACTTAGGAAAAAACGGCCGTGGGGAGTGATGTGGAAAATATATAGAGGAGGGGTGAAGGGGTAAAGGGTGGATATTTCGTCCAGATAGCGTACCCGACGTATTGTGTTTTCATTAGAGTTTCTTATTAAGTTCACAAACTAAAAAAATGGTATACCGACATTTTCAGGGGCCGTCTTATGTTAATTTCTGTTAACGGAGTCGTGGGTTAGCCGTAAGTCAATAAATATCGTATTTTTCACTTATCCATCACCTTCACAAAACCATATTGATATTGATGTGTGCAGTATATATTGAAATATATGCGAAAATCATGCCTATGTAATAAATCAACGGATAAAATGTTGTATGATGTGTCTAACAAGCTAAGCTCGCTATAGTTTTCTACTTTTACTGGATCTGCTTATTGGAAAATCGGACATATGACAGCTGCCTTGCAATCATTTTTAATGAGTTTATGTTCCAATGTTTCAACATTAAGACATTGTATGTATTTTAAAAGATTTTCCCCTTCTATCTTCAATAGTTCCGAATTAATTTAATTTCCCCTCGGTGTCTTATTATTTTTTATCGAATCACAACCTACTCGATTTTGTCCAGACTTGATTCCGAAAGTTTAGGTTCCACAGTTTCACTTCTTACTAGTTCATATGGTATGCACTGGTTATCATTAGTATCAATCAAAAGTTGCTGAAGTCCTTATCTTATAATTATTCAGAAATCCAACAAGACATTTTCAGTAAAATTCATCTTGAGTTATACATTTTCAGACGATAACCAATAATGTGTATCATAATAATTATCTATCCTTAGCCTTTTTGAAGTCAGTCGGTTCATTTGCTTCCAGCTATTAAATTGAGTCACGTGAAAATTTTTTCTTTTTCACTAATATTTTGTTTTTTTTTTCCATCATCTATGATGTCTTTTATGCGTGTAAAAAGTTCCATTTCGGTGTACATTTTTTTTTTGTTTTTCCTACGATTGACATACATAAAGAATAATTTTTAAAATATTAAAAAGAACAGCAAACACAATAAAATGTATTCACCAATAGTATTTACGTCAAACTAAAATATTACCAAAACTAGGCATTTTGCTAGTTTGAAGTATAGAAATTGACAAACAAGTTAACAATTTGTTGATCAATTTGAATGTCAACAGGTCGACAACCTATCACTTCAAGTGCGTAGGGGCTTACATATTTTTACTTAGCGACAGGGATACTGTAAAAAGTAGTATTAAAAGTTTGTTGAGATATTGACTTGTTGGTAATAAACAATAGGATGAACAAATTCATGATTAAAAATAAGCCTTGAGTTTTTAAAATATTACAGAAAATAAGCAATTATATTGCTAAAATTAAAAAAAAACTAAACCAATGTTTGTATCATCTTAAAATATATTATACATCATAAACCATACTTAAGATTTCAAAAACAAATATTTAAAAATAAACGGGTCGTTATGATCTTAACGCCTTTGTTTGATTGAACTCTAGTCGTAAAAATTTCTTCAAGTAAAATATATTATCTACTTAGCATGTTACTGTTGAAATTAGCATTGTAAATAAATATTATTATATAAGACATGAGCAATACTATCCTATAATCTAAACGTTGAGGGTGTATGGCGTCAAATACAACATTTTCAAAAGTAACTGTTTTTTTAATTTTTATATCTGGTCACCATACATATACTCCACAACGCCTTATTTATTTGGTATATATATTTTAAAATTTTATTCTGTTGAATGATATTTATACAGTTTTAGAATGGCGGGTACGGTTGATGATTCTACTGCTGACTCAATGCTTGTAATAAAGGATCAACAAGTGGTCAATGAAATCAATAAGGATATGGATGGCATAGAAAAGGATAAAAAACAACCAGAAGAAGAGTATAATACTAATTGTGAGCCGAGTACCAGTGCAGCAGGTACTTCGGCCGATCCTCAAGAAGACAGTCACAATGTTACAATTGATAATCCATTACCATCAGATGCACGAGTATCGCTAAGGAAATTTAAAAATAATACCCAACTAAAGTTATTGTTTGAAAACGCTCGATATTTTGTCGTGAAAACTAATTGCAGAAAATATTATCAATCGATCAGATCGAACTACTGGCCTACTGATTATTGGAATAAAGTAAAATTTAATACAGCGTTCAGATCATGTAAACATGTGTTCTTGATATTTTCGCATAAAAAGAGCCGCCAGTTTTTAGGTATATTATTAATGTAATTTATGTATTATTGTTTAGTTATCGATTTCCGTGCATTTATTATTTATCTTTGTTCATTTTAGGATTTGCTAGAATATCTGAAGGGTCGTACAACGTGTCGCCTTTTACTCGGGTCCGAGAAAATGGGACAAACGTTTCTGGTATGTTCAAGTTTGATTGGGTTTCAAAAAAGAGACTACCATATCGAAACACATTGCATCTGTACAATTGCTCTGGAAAACCCGTATCAAAATCTCGCAATGGTGAAGAATTGGGCAAAAAATCTGGCATGAGGTTATGTTTAATGTTACTAATAGGTGAATCAATAGATTTACAATATATTTTGAACAAATCTGATATCCAACAACGGAACAAAACAACAAACCACTCACGGCGACACCTGAACATTGATCGTCCAACCAATATGTCTTCGCGGGTCCCATCACTTGGTCAACCATCAAATACTAATGCAAGAGTACTTGAATTACGTCATTACAGTGAATTCGTTTCTTATCATGTCTACGAATTGTGAAAATTAAATTCCACATAAAAAATGGACCGGTGTGATGAGAGCATTTTTTGTTATGAATTCTCAATTGCAGTAAATATAAAATTTAAAAAACTTCCCTTGGCACACTTGTATTTGATGCTATCGACATTTTCTTGTAAATATTACGAGGCTTATTGCATTTAATATTTAATTAAACTTTTAAACTTCGATTTCTAGTCATTTTCAAAACGTTGAATTAAAATATAAAATAATATTTATAATTTAACGATTGAGAATTAAAAACTATTTATGTGTGAGTAAATTTTCATGTTTGAAATAATTATTTTATTACGCGTTTTAAATTGAATGATGCTCGGTGCATTTTTCAAAAACTAATAATTAATTACAGTACAGTTTATTACATAAACATAATATTAACTTTTTGGCGTGTTGTATCAATGTATTGGACTTGGTCACAATATTTAAACATTTTGAAATAAATTAATTTTAAAAAATGAAACAATTTTGTTTCAATTGTAGTCATATAAAATTTTTTAAATTTCCCTTGGCACACTTGTATTCGATGCTATCGACATTTTCTTGTAAATATTACGAGGCTTATTGCATTTAATATTTAATTAAACTTTTAAACTTCGATTTCTAGTCATTTTCAAAATGTTGAATTAAAATATAAAATAATATTTATAACTTAACGATTGAGAATTAAAAACTATTTATGTGTGAGTAAATTTTCATGTTTGAAATAATTATTTTATAGCGTGATTTAAATTGAATGATGCTCTGCATTTTTCAAAAACTTGATGGCGTGTTGTATCAATTTATTGGACTTGGTCACAACATTTAAACATTTTGAAATTAATTAATTAAAAAAAATAAAACAATTTTGTTAAGAGTTTTGTCGTTTAATAATTGCACAATATTTGATAATAATTAAAAAATATATACGTGTCCCTGAAATGTTGTGGGCTCACCTATAAAAATAGTTCTTAATTAGTCTTATACTTTAATCAAATATACTTAAAGATATTTAATGTAGTATGTAATATGTAGATTTTAAGTAGCGAGTATCACTATGTAACAACATTGTAGTATTATTCTATTGTTTTACGTTTTGCATTTAATATTTAATTAACTAGTCATTAACTCTTTTTAAATTTCGATTTCTAGTCATTTTTAAAATGTTGAATTAAAACATAAAATAATATTTATAATTTAACGATTGAGAATTAAAAACTATTTATGTGTGAGTAAATTTTCATGTTTGAAATAATTATTTTATAGCGTGATTTAAATTGAATGATGCTCTGCATTTTTCAAAAACTTGATGGCGTGTTGTATCAATTTATTGGACTTGGTCACAACATTTAAACATTTTGAAATAAATTAATTTAAAAAAAATAAAACAATTTTGTTAAGAGTTTTGTCGTTTAATAATTGCACAATATTTGATAATAATTAAAAAATATATACGTGTCCCTGAAATGTTGTGGGCTCACCTATAAAAATAGTTCTTAGTTAGTCTTATACTATAATCAAATATACTTAAAGATATTTAATGTAATATGTATTATGTAGATTTTATGTAGCGAGTATCACTATATAACAACATTGTATTATTCTATTGTTTTACATTTTGCATTTAATATTTAATTAACTAGTCATTAACTCTTTTTAAACTTCGATTTCTAGTCATTTTCAAAATGTTGAATTAAAATATAAAATAATATTTATAATTTAACGATTGAGAATTAAAAACTATTTATGTGTGAGTAAATTTTCATGTTTGAAATAATTATTTTATAGCGTGATTTAAATTGAATGATGCTCTGCATTTTTCAAAAACTTGATGGCGTGTTGTATCAATTTATTGGACTTGGTCACAACATTTAAACATTTTGAAATAAATTAATTTAAAAAAAATAAAACAATTTTGTTAAGAGTTTTGTCGTTTAATAATTGCACAATATTTGATAATAATTAAAAAATATATACGTGTCCCTGAAATGTTGTGGGCTCACCTATAAAAATAGTTCTTAATTAGTCTTATACTTTAATCAAATATACTTAAAGATATTTAATGTAGTATGTAATATGTAGATTTTAAGTAGCGAGTATCACTATGTAACAACATTGTAGTATTATTCTATTGTTTTACGTTTTGCATTTAATATTTAATTAACTAGTCATTAACTCTTTTTAAATTTCGATTTCTAGTCATTTTTAAAATGTTGAATTAAAACATAAAATAATATTTATAATTTAACGATTGAGAATTAAAAACTATTTATGTGTGAGTAAATTTTCATGTTTGAAATAATTATTTTATAGCGTGATTTAAATTGAATGATGCTCTGCATTTTTCAAAAACTTGATGGCGTGTTGTATCAATTTATTGGACTTGGTCACAACATTTAAACATTTTGAAATAAATTAATTTAAAAAAATAAAACAATTTTGTTAAGAGTTTTGTCGTTTAATAATTGCACAATATTTGATAATAATTAAAAAATATATACGTGTCCCTGAAGTGTTGTGGGCTCACCTATAAAAATAGTTCTTAATTAGTCTTATACTTTAATCAAATATACTTAAAGATATTTAATGTAGTATGTAATATGTAGATTTTAAGTAGCGAGTATCACTATGTAACAACATTGTAGTATTATTCTATTGTTTTACGTTTTGCATTTAATATTTAATTAACTAGTCATTAACTCTTTTTAAATTTCGATTTCTAGTCATTTTTAAAATGTTGAATTAAAACATAAAATAATAATTATAATTTAACGATTGAGAATTAAAAACTATTTATGTGTGAGTAAATTTTCATGTTTGAAATAATTATTTTATAGCGTGATTTAAATTGAATGATGCTCTGCATTTTTCAAAAACTTGATGGCGTGTTGTATCAATTTATTGGACTTGGTCACAACATTTAAACATTTTGAAATAAATTAATTTAAAAAAAAATAAAACAATTTTGTTAAGAGTTTTGTCGTTTAATAATTGCACAATATTTGATAATAATTAAAAAATATATACGTGTCCCTGAAATGTTGAGGGCTCACCTATAAAAATAGTTCTTAATTAGTCTTATACTTTAATCAAATATACTTAAAGATATTTAATGTAGTATGTATTATGTAGATTTTAAGTAGCAGGTATCACTATATAGCAACATTGTATTATTCTATTGTTTTACGTTTTGCATTTAATATTTAATTAACTAGTCATTAACTCTTTTTAAATTTCGATTTCTAGTCATTTTTAAAATGTTGAATTAAAACATAAAATAATATTTAAAATTTAACGATTAAGAATTAAAAGCTATTTATGTGTGAGTAATTTTTCATGTTTAAATAATTATCTTATTGCGTGATTAAAATTAAATGATGCTCGGTGCATTTTTCAAAAACTAATAATTAATTACAGTACAGTTTATTACATAAATATAATATTAACTTGATGGCATGTTGTATCAATTTATTGGACTTGGTCACATTATTTAAACATTTTGGAATAAATTAATTAAAAAAAAAAAACGCTATTTAAGCTACTTAAAAATCATATAAGTGTATTCGGATTTTCGGATTCCCATCACTAGTAATGACCACTCTTACGGAAAGTAAGAAAAGTTTATCATAATTTTGTTAACTTCTATATGTAAATCATACATTCTTCTTTCCGAAGTAATAATTATAACATTAACAGTAAACATATATACTTTAATAACTTAATTAACGCTGTTATAATGAAAAACGGGATGTACCTTGTTTGTGCGTTTACATTCGCTTATACAATATGTAGTTACACATTATTTGTATTGTATAAAAATAACTATTTGCTAGTTACTATTTATCATCAGGAAGTGTAATACGTTACATCAAGCAGCCGTTATTACTTAGCTTATTAGAAGATACCTGCTACAACAATATAGTCATGTTTCGTAGTCATATTAGATGATGTATAACTGTGTGTTTGTTTGAAGTTTAATACAAATATAATATCTTATTCTGAATCTTAAACTTGGTTTATCTATTACTGAACCACAGTAGTTTGCCCGCTACCGCAATTTTTTTTTACCCACATACCATAGGATTTGAAACAATGGTTAATGCATTATAATATCTAAAATGTATTGTCCAGTTAAATAGTTAATTATTTTAAACATCTGTTTAATTCAAAAACCATCCGTATCAAACCACTAAAACCGAAAGTGATACAATATTATTTTGAGTCGAGTTATTGTAAAAACTGATTAAATAGTGCACTATACCTACTTTTTGTTAAGTATGTAAAACACGTTTCAAGAGTAAAATGAGACAACAAAAAAATATAATTTTTTCAAAAATGACGGATTTTTAATTGTACCTAAACTCTTAAGTTGACGATCCCCGCCAGTAATGTGAAAACTAAATTTGTGCGATTGAGTACTAAATTTACCAAATTTTTATAGAAAATAAAAGACAATATTATCTATGTTGAAGCTTGGTAATTTGTTGATAGACCAATAAGTTTTTTTCTGTGAATTAAGTTATTAAAAATTAGTCGACTGGTTTATTGAAAAAATAAAAACGCAAAGATAAAGTGTTCCTATATTTGCTGTGAAAATGTGTTTATATTTTTAATAATTCCAATTTTCAAGACACTTTGGTTTTGATTTGCCTAAAAGTAACTTGATGAAAACAAATTATTTTAATTTTCCCTATAGTAATGACTGTAATATTCTCACAAAAAAAAAAACAAACAGTAAAACCCTCATTGCTGTATTAGTAATACCTACAGTATTAATAAGTATACAATATAATAATTACCTATATTTTACTCTTTAATAAATGGATGCAGAATGGGTAGCGTCTTTGGTCTTCCTAAAGATACTCAATATCTAAAGATAGAAAAAAAAAAGAAAATCGAATTTTAAGTTTAAACGATTTACTTTTTCAGCGTTGCTTATAATTAGTTTGTTTCATATAGGTATAATTCAGATAATATATTTTTAATAATAGGACACACAAAATTACTGCTTTCGATTTACTTAGTTAATT